AGGAAATCAACGCCATTCCGCCTGAGATAACCCAGAGAGTGATGGAGAACTTCCGGGAACGTCTTCAGCAATGTATTGCCAACGACGGCCGCCATTTGCCTGATATGATTTTTAAAACCCATTAAAACGAAACTGTTTTTTATGTACTTTTCAGAAATATATGCATTTTTTTTCTAGATAGCTTCGTTCATTTTTTTATACCCCTTCAAAATGTGGGAGATCTTTATGCCCCACCCTGTACAATATGCAAATGTTAATTTAAATATCAGGTAGCTTCAAGTAGTTTATGGAAAACTGTTATATATGCATTTCTAAATGTGCCATGATCATCAAAACTTGTGTTTGTCAAGAGACATGCTATGAATGCACTTCACAGTAATTTGAAGTTCTGCCTCCACCACATGCCTGAGAGGCACTGCATGTATGACAGGCTTACATAAGTCAGTTGTCACAAGGCATTCAAACAGGAAACAGGTTGATTAATGAGTGATGTATAAACATCACTTTTTTTTTTGTCCCTGAGGAAAATGCCAAAAGGAGACTTTGACAATGCTGAAAGAAGCATGTGGAGAGAGTGCAATGAAAAAGTTACATGTTTACAAGTGGCCATGCAGTTAAAGCCGCTGCAACAGCTATGAAGATGCTCCTGAAAAATGGATTCCAAAAGAAATCTGAGTTGTATGGATGTGGAAAAAGTGTACAGCTATACAGGAACAGTCATTAGAAGGAAATGTCGTGTAAAGGTATCTATTTTGCACTAATATTGTAATATGACATGTTTCCATGAACTTTTTGAAGTTACTTCATAGAAGCCTAGGTTTCTAGAGGTTTCAGTACAGGGGGTGGCTGTTACATATCAATAGGATGCCCTAACACTGGAAGAAGAATGGGATTGGAGACAGGACAGGACAATATTTAAATGATGAGTAATCATTTTGTTAAACTTGAACATGAGAGTTATGAAAGAGTCCAAAGCAAATACTCGAATGGGAGTCAGGTTGGAAGATGATCGATGTTCTTTCTGAGACAGGACAATGGCAGCTGCAGCTGTAGCCATGGATGCTGCATATGGCTGTGGTGGCCATGCTGTTGATGTCCTGGTGGCTGTGGTGACTGAACCTGTATCTCCAATCTTCGGCTTCAAAGCTTCAATGACCTCCACAGTTGGCACCTGATAATGATACTTTTCTCAGTAGTAGGAAAGGAAAAACCATGCCAATTTATATCAGATTCTAACCCCTACCTTGGGCTTCATCAGACCAAGCATTTTCTCCTGCTGTTCAAGTTGCATTTGAATCTCACTCTCTATCCATTTTAGATACTGTAAAGACAAAATAAATTAATGAGACCAAGGGCAACTACATCAAATGTAAACAAAAACAATGAGTTTATTCTTGATTATTTTGATCAAATGCCACAAGATGTATGCAGTCAAAACAAATTAAAATGATTTCTGAAAGATTAGAGAAGGAATGGTTAAAAGTTGGAGGTTTTTTTTTTACCACATCCTGTACATGATGTGACAAAAAAAAGACTTTTTTTTTTACAGCCAATATGTAAACCACAGACAAGTTCAGACACATCTGTAGTGACGTTGATATTTTAATAGATTCAGTTGACCTAGTTGTTAAAGTATGGTGTACTGCTGAAGAAGCCAGTGTCTAAGTCCTTTGTCATAAAAATGTCTGACAGTCACATTAAATAGCTAAGCAACATCAAATTTTACATCAAGTTTAAGAAATCAGCTATAAACTATTTTAACCCTTTGAGGAGTGGGTTTTTTTATGTCCAGAAGATTGCCCATAGTGAATACATGGAGGGCAGAGGATGTCAGCCCATATATATACTGTACAGGCATACTCATTAGAGAGTAAAAAAACAGGTGTATGGGGATAAGATGATGTCTGAAATTAGAGTTTTTGAGTGGTTTCAGAGGTTTAAAGATGGGAGGGAAGACACCAATAGCAATGAAAGATGTGGTTGTTCAAAAACATGTACAATGTAAACAAACATTGAAAAGGTTCGAGATTTGATTTGAGCTGATCAATGCCTAACAATTAGACTGTTAGTAGACATGACTAACATGTCAAGAGTCTATCTGCTCATTCAGTATTGACAGACCATCTTCCAATGAGGAAGGCTTGTGCCAAGTTCACTCCTATACTTTTGGCAGTGGAACAGAAAGACCGACAAGTTGACCCGAGTTCTTAAAGGGATCCAGAGAAGACTTTCAGAGATGTTTCCAACAGTGGTAGCACTACTGGAATAAATATATGGTTTCACAAGGGAATTACTTTGAAGGAGACATGTCCAGGGCTAGTAGTTTTTTAAAATAACTCAGTCTCAGAATTTTTTGTCATACCTTGTATACAGGAGCGAATTAAACACACATACAGGAAAAAAGACATTAATCAAGCAAGATAGACTCTAGTAGAATGTCTAGTAGCATGGTACAGGTAGTACAGTATGTCCAGCATCCCAAGTTCATTTCATATAAATATACAGTTCATAATCAACTGATCAGAACTTGGCTCTGACTGATCTGATAGCATTTGGTGCACCCCCTTCAAAGTTTATTATTGTTATAAAACCAAGAGAAATGGCTGTGAGAACCTGAACTGAAGAAATATGTTGTGTCTTGGAGAAGAACTTATCCAGCTGCCTCATGAAGTCCGAGAGGAGCTGTGTGACAAGCAGACTCCCTTTCTTGTCATTCACCTGTATTCTTTTCTGTAAATCACATGAGAAAACATGTTTTTATCCATTTCTTCAACTAAACTAATGCTAATGGTGGATATCAGGGCAAAGACTCACCAGAGCAGAAATAAGATCCTCAGCTGTCATCCGATCCTTGCCTTTCCCTACCTGGCTTGAGCAAGATGCTGCCCTCACTTTCATTTCAACCCTAAGAGGAAGTATCCAGTGACTCAATTTATTGCCAGTATATCTTCTTACAGGAAATAATGAATTTCAGAATGCATTTACATACTTGGCATCAAGAGTGACTATAGATGAGCTCTGCTCTGGTTCTCCATGATGCCTTTTTGGTTCTAAAATAAAACCATGCAAATCATGGAAGGGCATTATATTGATTCCATGATCAAATGTCACTCTACCACTCTACCAATTACCACTTGGTTTCCAAATGTCTGAATAGAAAACAATTTTTCATGACATCTTGAAGTATTGCCAATGTAGGCCTACATATAGAACTGAATGGACAAACCAGGTGCAAGTTGGTGATCAGGTGATGATTTCCTCTTCTCTCCCATTATCTCTGATTCATTTTCTTCAGTTTTGTTATGTTCACTCTCCTTCCCTGGGAAGAGGAAGATTTTTCTTTTCAGTTCAATTTGTCTATTTTAAATAAAGCTGGTTACACTGGACTGAAACATTTCCCTTCCCCACAGCCATCAATAGTAGGCCCATAGGTATAAAGGCAAAGAGGATATTCTAAAATAAACTCCTCAAAATTTGCCTTTTCATTATTTTCCGTAGAAGCTTTTTTATTTTTAGCCCACACACAGAGCTCATGAATCTTCAGTCTGAAATTTAACAAGTGGACTTCATTGAGTCAGAGAAGGGTAGTAATAGAGTACTCATGCTCATAATTCCATGCGGAGCACATATAAATTAGTGCAGAAGTGGAAACATTTTTTTGGGCTTGCCTTATAAGTCTTGGTGTTAAGGATGAGGACTAATTAATTCATCACTGGCAAGTTACACCTTTATTGGAGTATAACGATTGGCAAATTGATTCACACCACTTTGAACAAAAGGAGTAAAAGTAAATCACTTATTTCACAGGAGATATACCTTCACCTCCATGTATGCACCATAAAAATAATGTGAACAACGTTAAGGTAAAATGAATTCATTCGCAAATCACTGTGGGATGACCTAGGCTTACCTGCATTGGAGTTGATTCTCTGCTACCCCCCTCCCCCCCTCCCCACAAGGAGCAAAATCATTTTGCAACCACATGACAGAGAAAAAACAAACAGTTTGGCTCTCAAAAATTCCTGTTTTGTACAGGACTCCTGAGTCCTGCCAGGAAAAAAAGGTCAACCAAGCAATCTCACCTTTGCCAATGGTCTTAGCATGTTGGCTGAGGAGACAAGGTAAGCCTTCAAAATGCCATTATGGCTATTTTTGTTTGTGGCATACCCAAAGGATTAATTGCTCAAAGAACCCAAATGAAGATTCATACCATGGGGATTCTTTCCATTTGACCATTCTTTCTTAAAGAATATAACCCAAGGTGCAGAGTAGTTTGAGGCTTTTAATTTTGACTTTTCTATGAGGTACCTATTGTAAAAAAGACAACTTGTCTAACTCACCAGTTATTACTTTGATCTTGGATAGACTGCGTCCATCTTCCATTTCAATGTCTCTGGCCATCTCTGCTATGGCCTCTGGTGTGCTCTCACCCTTCATCTCCTTCACCTCTTCCTAGCAATGGATAAAAAAAAAAAAAACAGTATATAGCCATATGCTTTTAACATATGATAGTGAATGGCATGAAATGAATTTAATGAAACTAACAATGAATTTTGTTCGATGAGGGAGGCTGAGGATGTGACGGAACATTCCATCGTAGAAGCCTTGGAAATCACACAAGGTGCATTTGTACTTTGGCTCTAGGTCTGGGCAACGGCTTACATCTTCCTCTATGTACATGGCCCCTGAATCAATATGAAATATAGTAATACCAAATGTACTGTACATGCAAAGAGAATCCCCACTCCACTATTAGGATTGATTAATTTATGGGACATACCTATCACAGGTTCACAGGTTTCCCTAAGTTTCTTTTGAAGAGCACCAGGGGAACCAGGCAAGCGCTTGACTTTTGGAGGCCCAGTTGCAACAATTCCATTGTTCACCAGACCAACCTTACCTTCTGTTCTCTTTTTCAAGATATTCAGTGCCTTCAAAAAGAGAGATGGAAACACCTCCTTCATACAATCACCTTGTAAATCTGCACATCAATAATCTGGGATTCCCATGTGCATGAGGAAAATCCTGTGGCCCTGGCAAAAACTCTATAAACCTCTTATTTTAGCATGCTCTGGCTAACTTGGATGCTGTTTCTTTGGAATTGACACTTTTCAAAGAATTTTAACAAACTGTCATTCTGAGTTCTGACTTCTTTGGAATCCTCTCATAAGAATCAGAAAAATTAAATTGTCAACATGATAAGAGAAATGATATTGGAGAATATATGTATTAAAACTGAAACAAAATAGGAGAGTTTTGCTAAGAAATAAAACAAAAACTAAATAAATTCAGTTTTGTTACCCAGCCCAGCTGTGTAACAAAAGTAAGCACTAAGAAAAAGAGGTGAATGAGTTTTTTTTCTTTTCATTTCCACCTCTTATATCTCTATTTCAGGGATCGAAAGTCCTCCTGGTCAAGCCCCCCTCATCCCTTCCTTCAATGGAACCTCTATGGAATTTGCATTCATTCTCAACTATATAGCAAGTCCATACCTATCTCAAAATAAACAAGTCACCTGAATTCTACTTCAATGAGAGCTTACTGCATTTTGTGTCTGTCTGGCAATTGAAAAAACTTGAAACTTGAGCAGATTCCAACAAATGTTTTTCTTTTCCCTTTCCCAAACAAAACATGGTTTCCCCCTAATTTTAACAGAGGATTTAAATACAATTCCTCAAGTTTTGCTCATTTGAACAGCAGACCTGAAGTATGCAAACATAATAGAAGGTCTTGTGATTTGAAATCAAAATCCCAACCCAACCATCCCCTCCCACTTCCACGAGACATATTTGGGTTGCCTTGTCAACCTCCATAAGTATGCAGGGCACTCAGAAAGTTTCCAGACATTACTTCATGGAATGGGTCATAAATGAAAGGTTTTCTAAACCTTCAGCTCCATGTGAGATGAGACTGTGTACAAATTTTCAAATATATACTTTTTCAGGTGATTGATTTATGGCATTTCACACCCTGGATGCCTGTAGTTTTTTTTTCTGGCTTCAGTCATAACTGTTCGGTGTAAGGTTCACCTGCCATTGCTCACCACTCCCTTCAAAATTCAGCAAACCAGAATGCTGGGCTCCATCACAGGGCACCACCCACAAATGCACCTTGCAACCTAGCAATGCTCTGCTCTTGGGTTAAGCCACACTGGAAATCACAAAAGTGCTCGTGGCTTAGTTCCATTGCAGGAAAAAAGCTTTCAGAATAGCAGGGTATAAAACAGCATAAATAAAATACCCAATGAGGTTCATGTTTACAAATTTGTACACAGACTCCTATCAAGTGGAGCTGAAAGTGTAGAAAAGCTTTCATGTGAGATCATTTCCATGAAGTCACATCTGCAAACTTTCTGAATGCTCCACATACCATATTGACCTTGATTTGAGCCAAAATAATAAACACATCATTACAGATCATACCACAAAAACAAGACAGATCTCTGACTGGCAATCTTCAGTTCTTGCTAACTAATTCACTATTACAATCACAAGAGGAAACAGTTGTACCTTGATATGTCGAGTCCCTTCAATGTGGGCTTCCATCATGGCATCACTCGTAAGCTCAATGTTACAGACCTGGAAACCCAATGAACATAGTGATACACAGGAAAGCCAAATCTAGAGGTTGACAGAAAACTGTGAAGCTCTTTACTTTGCAATATAAGTGTCTTCTTGGTCTCCCTCCACCTGTGAAAGTGATTGCTCAATGAAAAATATGAATGCCAGGCAAGGTTCTATAAAATTATAAAGGCTGAGCAAAATATCACCTACCAATGCTTGTATCAAGGGCAGGCTCAACCTCTTGTTCAGTGATGCCATAAAATCGGTCATGTTGGTTCCAGCTGCGATGATGATTGAAACCTCTTCCAGACCCTCGTCCCCATGGCATATATCCCCCACGGGGTGGTCGAGACCCTCGAGCTCCACCAAAGCCCCAATTTGAGCCCCACCCACCCCTACCATGACCCTGCCACCCCCTCCCACTTCCATGATACATATTTGGGCTGCCTTGCCAACCTCCATAAGTACCATATTGACCTTGATTTGAGCCAAAAAAATCAACACATCACTACAGATCATACTAAGTAAATAAGAATGTACTAATGCATGAATAGCCTACTCAGAAACATTCTCAGGAAAATGCATGCCACCAAACACCAATCCTTAGAGCTTATAGCCTTTTCATTTTAGGAATATTGGTCCTGCTTCAGTAAAATCTGACTTCATGAACTCTTGTATAACCCATGACCAAATGACTGACCAGAAGATCACATGATGGAATTCAGACAATGTCTGACTTTTCATCATGATCTTCCTTTGAAAATCTGGCAGATCTCAACTGAAAATACAGAAAAAGTTCCTCATTATCTACAATAAGCCTAGGTCTATGCCTACATGGTAAATTTGTAGATGTGAGTCACTTCTGGACACTTATTTATTCTTGAATTTCTAATTCTGAAACTCAAGTGCTGAATCTAAGATTGATTTATGAATCATTACCCCTCATCTGAACCAGGCTTGGGACTCACACTCAACCTCATTTCCTTGAATCTAAACAGGCTCATCCCAAAAGGCATGTCATCCAGTCTCAGAGACATGCTCCTAACAAGTATCTAATAATTACATCAAGCCTACCCATAAGTTGTACATTGTGTTGGCCTGATTCAATTAATTTCTCTCAATAGGACCCATGCAAGAACTGTATGAAGAAAGCAGGAAAATAGGAAAGCTAGTCCTAAGAATGTGTACTGATAGGATATGCATATGGGAAAAAGAAGGCCCAAACTTTTCACCCATGCATTGATAAGAAAACCAGACCCCCAGATCAGGTCACAAGACTTGATTCTGGACCTGGTTTATACAGGTCATGGATACAGATGAAAGAAACTGGATTATCCCAATGTATATCACATCTGCACATGTGATATGACAATGGGAACCCAGACTCACCAGCCATATCAGCCACAAGATGATTTCCTAATCCTCTTGCGGATTCCGAGTTCAGGAGCCTCAACCCAAGTCCTCAAATATGCCCAATGGCTGCCCAAACTGAGTAGGCTAAGGCTAGGGAATATGGACCCTATCCACGAGACACATTGGCAGAGACCAAAGAGCCCACTTTGCTTCAAGTGAGCTATATAGTCCTTCTTGTAGGACTAGGCCTATTTCTGGCCCTGTTCTTGTTAAAACAACTGCAACACAAAGAAGTGGAGCATAAAAAAAGGCCAAGGCTTATCATAGGCCGTGCTAACGCATACAGTGAGCAAATTTGGTGGAACACGGGGTTTGACAAGTCTTTTGGCATTTTTCCATCACCACCAGACATTCAGCCATGGCCCACTTGGAAGCGAAACAAGAGATTTCCGTCTGAATTTTTAATCGCGGCAAGGTTATCATAACTGCGGGAAGAGCGAATAAAAAGCCTGCCGAGGCAAACTCACCGTCTCCTATTCACAAATTCGCCAAACGCCAACTGCAACTACACCAACTACATCTAGTGTATTTGTACTGTTTTTGCGCAAGCCCAATAGAAAAACGTCGCCCTTCCATTCCACCGAACGCACGGCAGCCATGATGACGATGTCGATGATCCGGGTCACTGCTGATCTTGGCCTTCAAAGGGATAGAAAATGCAGTGTACACGAAACAAATCATGGAATAAGTAATTTTTCGTACTTCACACCAGTCACGAATACAGTAATTTTTTTTAATTATCGGAAGAAAGATGGCATCTGGTGAAGAGTCATTCCTCTCTTCGTCAGAATATCAGATCTGTCAACATGGAAAAAACATGAAGACCTCTGTGGCCTGGAGAGCATGAAAAGCACGTGCGGACGATATTGCACACGTTGAGGGGGGTCATTGTTAATTGTGAGCGTCTTTCTTGCATTTTAGACAATGGAAACGGTAAAGAAAGTGAGGAAGGCGTTTAGGAGGCATTTCATCGACGTACTTCGACTTTATGTGATGGGAGGCACAGGCGGAAACGGCCTCCCTCGGTATGGCGGCATTGGGGGTCCAGGTGGGAACGTCTATGTCGTTGCCAAAGAAGGTAGACCATCCCTTTCTTCTCGCTTTTTTTTTGTTCTATTTGACATTACGCATTTTCGATTATCTCTTTCAAAGACACCACCCTGAAAGTCTTGGTGAAGAAGCACCCAAACAAGAGATTCAAGGCAGGCATGGGAGGGAACAGTCACAAATACCACATTCTTGGTACACCAGGAGAGAACATTCATATTCCCGCCCCAGTTGGAGTCATTGTGAAGACAGATCATGGAGCATGTCTTGGTATGTCAAAAGAGACTGACATGATCTCTACATGGATTGAAACTTTTTTTTTCACATATTTTCACTTTTAGGCAATCACGTTGCTAACCTGAATGTTGATGTGCTTGGGTTTTCTGTATTTTACATAGGATCCCTTGATGTGGCAGGAGAAAAGGTCTTGGTTGCAAAAGGTGGTCTTGGAGGAAATCCCATCAATAATTTCCTTGGACAGAAGGCTGTTCCTAATTTTGTGACCTTGGAACTGAAACTTATAGCTGATGTTGGTTTAGTTGGCTTTCCCAACGCTGGGAAATCAACCTTATTGCGTGCCATATCTCAAGCAAAGCCTACTGTAGCTTCCTACCCATGTGAGTCATGTACAACCAGCCAGTTAACGCTGCAGGTAAAATCATCATACTAGGCATCTCCCATGACAAGAGGTTTGAAGGATAAGTAATGGAAACTGTTTCAGAGAATGAGAAGATGCAATCATTGCAACAGCAGGGACTCATGATGGAAAAATGGATTCAGAAATGATGCCATGAGGCCTAGAGCATTGCAATGGCAATCTTTGAGGGTGAAAATCTTAAGTAAATCCAAAGCCACAGAAGTGATACCAACTCCTAATATTTAATCATCTTTAACTGCTGTAACCCACATGTCTCTGTTCTACCTCATTTGCCTCCTCTAGCTATCAAAGGCATTGCAATCAGATGTTCCATAAGATTTTACTCTCCTTTCAAAGCATTGTGGTAGTCACGAGAAAACAAAATGTATTCTACTTTCTCCGACCCAGAAAAAATTAAACCCATACATTGACTCATGTACATGACACCCAGGTATTAGGAGGCTATTGGATTCCTGTAAGTTCAATATGTGTACAGGTCCCCACAACTATGAAGCTACTTACTAGTTCTTGTATCATGTCAGCAGCTCTCCATAAGGCATGTATTCCTTTTCTGTAAAAATATCACAGTACTAACATCCAAGTTTCTGAGCTGTAATGCATAGCTCTTATTCAAATGTCATCTACCTTCAAATATCTTTAATGTCACATTGCACATTATGGTACAGCATTATCAGCTAATGCTAAGGTAAGACCATTTAAAAGGTACCATTTCATTGTGATTAATCAATGTACTTCAACTGCATAATTTGACTTCTATTGTAGTTACAACAATTCAGCCCCAACTGGGACAGATTGTATACCCTGACAAGAGGACTATCACAGTAGCAGATCTACCAGGCCTAATTGAAGGAGCTCATGTGAATCGTGGAATGGGACACAGTTTCCTCAGGCATGTTGAACGGACCAAGCTCCTCCTCTTCGTTGTGGACATTATGGGGTTCCAACTTGGAACAAGATTCACCTACAGATCTCCTCTAGAGACTGTTCTCCTGCTGAATCGAGTAAGTACCTTGGATATTGGTTGGTGTGATCTCGTGATCTCAATTCATTTAAAACCGCAGGTGACAATAATAAATACTATTGTACTCTTTACTCTCCTGTAGGAACTGGAATTGTATAGAGATGACCTTGTATCCAAGCCAGCACTTCTTGCTGTGAATAAAATGGACTCACCACAAGCAAGGAGGTATCTGAACAAACTATTGGCTGATCTCCGCCTTGTCCAAGGTAAGTAAGTGACACATTGCAATGCCGTGAGAATGCTACAGAAAACTGCCAAAAATTCATGGAGAATTTTACCCCACTTACAAATGAAAAATACTGCAGGAACATTGATAGGAACCCCAGTTGAATGTGGCAGTAATAGCAATATCATAGATTCAGTCTGTATATTGAAAGAAAATATTTGAAACTGGTTTATCAAACAGAGGGGACATTGGACATTGCTGACCACCTCAGGCCTTTGCAGTTCATTCAGTTCGATGAAGTGATCCCCATGTCAGCCAAGACTGATCCTGGATCTTTGGAGTATATCAAGCTTCGCATTAGAAAAGTGTTGGACTTTCACGAGGAACTTCATCGAAATGAAACGAGTCGGTCGTGTGGACTTGTTGAGCAATGTGACCATCTTCCAGTTTTTGCATGAAGTTTCATGAAATATGCTGTGAAAGAATGAGTGTTTTTTTAAATGTCTATGTTGACCATGATCAAGAAATAAATTATTGATGACAGGCAAGGTTTTCCTTGAACTGTATCTGAGAAGTTGATGGTGAACAGTGGATGTATGGTCTGTATTTTCTTGTCAGTTGAAATTTTCTCTTGGGTGCTTCACATTGCATTTTTAAAGTCAACCAACTAGGACAAGGATGATACTGATGAGAGACAAAAAACAACTGTATGTTCATTCTTGCCTGAACTGCAAATCCATTGAAATTTAATAGAGTCAAGACTAAAAATTGAAATGCTGACATCGCTGGTTAAGTAGTTCCATCCTATACATTTAGACAAAAAAATTTGAGGCAATACTCGAGGAACAAGGAACAGGTTTCAATAGTTCTGAACAAGGGAGTGGAAGAATACACTGGAACAAACAGATGGAAAATACTGTCCTTATGGAGCAAATTCATGAGACTTGTAACTGAAGACACACAAGTACTTTCCGATATAGCATACAATGAAGATTGAAATTGATCTAAGATCAAATTATGTCAGCCTCAAATTATATGAAGTCATCCAACAAAATGCAGGGCTGTCAAACCAGGCATTTATGTCAAGCATAAATCCACATCCCTTTGGGCATCAGTGCAATTTCTGCTGCATGAAGTGGAATGGGAATTCAACCAAGTACTTTTTACCAGTTTCCATATTAAATAAATCATGCAAAGGCCGAGGCTTCTTGCTACTCCATGGAACGTCATCAAGAAGAATGAAGAGAGAGATTCCCATGTCTCTCAATGTCATTCTGGTATGTTCATTGCTCACATTAAACACAGGAATCACAAAATCACTTCTGGAATTATAAGGGGGAGAAGGCCGATGAATGATGTGATCCAGGACTGTAATTTCATCATCAGCTTGTCTTACTTGCTCCATCAGGGGTCTCTTCAACTGGTTTGTTGCAGTGATCTTGGAATAACATCCTCTAGCTGCCTTCCTTTCAGGTACTTTCATCATACAGCCACTCATTTGCAGCTGTGTCTGTTTTTCATTCAGCTGTGGTCTCAGAGAATTATAGGCATGTGGTTTTGCAGGTAATACTGTTTGAGCAGTTTGAGGATACCCTTTCTGTCCTTTTTCTGACTTTCCATTAGGCAAGATCTTTTTCTGCAGATGTGCCTGCTTTTTATTCAGAGGTGATTGAGAAGCAAGGACATGTGGTTGTTCAATGCATACCTTCTGGGTTTTTCCCTCAAGCAAGGTCTTCTCCTGGTTGAGATGATGGGATGGGCTCAGGATTTCCTCAGATTCATTGTCTTCTTTCAGGGGATCAGAGGACCCATTGATGATGATGTCGTACTTCTTAGGCAATTCAGTTGCAATTTCATCCTGGGATTTGTAAGGAGCAGCTTCAGCAGATGGATTATGAATTTCTCTTTCCAAGTTGAGGGGAAATTGATCACAATTTTCATATACAATGTTATCCTGATTATCCAGAGCCCGCTTTTTGCTTCTCATTTTTCCTCTTCCCACTCCTCCATGATTGCCACCTCTCCTACCTCTACTCTGCCTCCTTCTTCCTCTACTGCTTCCACACACCCTCATGCTCTGTTTCTTTATGGAATTTGAGCTTTTAGGACGTTTACGCATATTCTGAAATGGCATGTTTGCAAGGAGGGCTTCCGTGGAACTCTCATCTGGATCTGGAGTGAACATTCCATATCTTCCTGTCCCTTTCTTCTTTTTGGTTGGTTTCCTTGCAGAGAGATGCATCAGCTTCTCCTTATAATCAAATTTGCTTCTGGGAGTGCCTTCAATGCTCTCCATAGCTGAATGTAACACCTGAGATGATGTGGGAGTTTCTTCACTTTGAGCATCCCCCTCAGGGGAGAGAGAGGACAACTGGGAAATAGCTTGACAAGACATGGCTACCTCTACAGCTTGGACTTCTTGACAAGACATGGCTACCTCTACAGCTTGGACTTCTTGACAAGACATGGCTACCTCTACAGCTTGGACTTCAAGAGGCACTCCTAGCTTGTCTGGCAAGTCAGGGAGTTCAGAAATTTCTTCAGAATAGTCCATAGCTTTCCCGATAGGTTCCTCTATAGTATTCCTTGGAATACTATCAGTATCAACTGCAGAGTCTAACACAAGTGCCCTTTCTCCCAAGACTTGATCAAGAGGCTCCAAGCTAGGTAATTCCTGTTCTTTGTATGTCTGTAACTCTCCGAGGTTAGCTGTGGCATCTGAAACAGATTTTTCAAATCCAAGCAAAATAATTACTATTAAACTTCAACGACTGATAACTGCAGCATTATTACATAGTGTACAATCCTTTTGGGTAAGACAATGAAAGGGACCTCACATCACAATGTACAAGACCTGCTACAATGACTTGTATTATCTGATATCAATAATCTGTGATTCTTTTATATCTAACTCATAAGGAAGGTTTGGTAGCTCAAAACTAGGACTGTTGCAATGGTTCTATGCATCCATACTACCATTGATGGTTGTAGGGATCTTTTGTTTTTCTGCTATTGTAATAAATCTACACAATTTTTTAAGGATGAAATGTTCCATCAAATTAAGGCAAGTACAGTCCAATACAGTTCGCCCAGGCTGGGAATGGGAGAGGAGACATGACCCATTGCTATATACAGTGCTGACAGAGGCATATCTGTCTTGTTGCATTCTTCAATGATCTTCCTCACAAACTCACAAACATGATGAATGCCTCATACACAGTATGTGGCCAGTTACTCTGAGTACCAGGCTTGGTTTAAAAGCCAGCACCATCACACTAGTTCCACTTGGCCATAAAATTTTAGATTATGCTCTGCACAAAGCGTAGGCAGTTAGCAACATAATTGAACACCCTATACTGCAACCCTGCACACCCTAGCTTGTATTCTAACAAGTACCACTTGTGGGTGTTTACTTCCAAATTTTTCTTTGCTGAAAGCTCATGATTGAGCTTTGGCATTGTCCTCAGAGTTTATTTTTACCCCAAGAACCCAGACAAAATGAATCAAACAGGTGTGACAAATATTAATCTGCTTCTTGATTTTGCCTTAATACAGTTAAGCAAATGTGAGGGCCTATGGTTGAGTCAGGCACTTTTTCCAGTCTGATCCCAATCTGCCAGGATAATAGTTCATAATGTTAAAGATAAAATATATATATTTTCCTGTATCATTCTTTAATATGATAGGAGAAAAAAAAGAGCAGAATGCATTTTTGACAGCATTTCAATAAACTTAATGGATTCTCTGCATCAATGATGATAAGCATGGCAACTGGACCTATACAGAAAAATTAGTCACATCTAATGCTGGCACAAGGGAAGACATGACAGGCAGAATCAGAGTTGGCATGGTCTAACACCATGTCACCAGTGGGGGAGTGCCACACTTTCAGAACATACTGCGTGAAACCATTCCTGCTGTGGTTCTAATAGTTTGGGAACCCAGACTGACCCAGGCTGTGAACCTCCACTAAAGCAAATAGGTTTCCTTATCAGTAAAAGTCATGTTCCCAATCATTAGGTCAATACCCATAAGTAGATCTGGCATGAGTTAATCATAATATCAAGTAGGTGGCCACCCTATACTTTAAATGTAAAAAAAATTGTAGACTTACAATAAGCTCTGTTTAAAACAAAATTCCCAAGTTAAATAAGCTGGGCTACTGCATAGCACTATGGGTCTAACACAATATTACAGAACAAGATGCTTTCTAAATTGGCCTGAGAGTGGAGCATTTTTTAGAGGGAGAAGGATGGCATATGCATACCAGCATTCTTTTCTACTTCTGCAGTAACTTTTATATAGTTGTTTCCAGGACCTTGGGAAGGAGTGGGCTTCTTTCTTTTCTGACCCATTCAACCTGTAGAATAAGGAAGAATAATTGTAAAATGTGAGGCCTTAGGATGGATAACAGCTGAAATTTCAACAAGAAATCAGTCAACTCCTATTAGAACTAGCCAATGTGTGCATTGGGCTGGGCCACTAGTTCATGGACAGTTGGTCTAGGTTTCAAATGGACAACACAAACTGATACAAAACAATCAGCCAGCCAGCGCAAGGCTAATGTTAGGCCAGCAAGCCGCAAATGACATACATGGGGTTCTCAAAAGGTTCTGAGACTGGTTCTGTATCTCCAGTATTTTTTTGTATGTATCTCCAGTATGTACTCAATTCTGGTAAGTGTCATGTGTTGCATCTATGAGGTGCATAGGAGACATTTCTTGCTGAATTGTTTTAATTTGTTTTTTTTTTGGGGGGGGGGGGGAGGGGATTTCTTATTAAGGACACTTTGACCTACTCAGTGAAAAGGGGTGAGGAATCTGATAAAGCAAAATTTGAAATTCCGAGGGCATTTTTTGTGGAATGGGGGAAATAATTGTGGAAAATTGTGCATGCTGTATCTGGTGCAGATGCTATAGGCTGCCAGATATTTGACAGGCACAAACAGTACAATAATGGAAAGCCAATGCAAACAACCCAAGGTCTGATTAGCAATCAATACATGTTGGGAAGAGGAGTAAAAGTGCAAGAAATCCTTCTGAGAGTTCTGAAAGTGACAATCCATGAGCTCTCTGAGAACTTGGCCTTAATCTTTCCTGGCATACAGGAATTTATTGTGAGATTTCACTCCTCTACCAGTGTCAAATATTGACCCAACCTTGGGTCATCCCTGTTAAAGGTCTTGGTTTTTTGTGAATCAGTAGCATCACTCGAATGCCTTCATGGTTTTGGGGCTTGGCACATTTGTCCACTTCCTTGCAAAATTTGGTGGCCCTTCAAGTTTTTAAGGAGGTGAGAGAAGTTCATTCATTTTTCCCCCCCAGGTAGGTCAAGGTGTCCATAAAGAAATTCTTAAAATAAAAAATAAAAAATAAAAAACAAATGAAAACCATTGAGCAAGAAATTTGAACTATGCACCCCAAAGGCCCACAAGAATCAGCATCTATACATCAAAGAATACTTGCGATTTTTAACCAGTCTCAGAACTTTTTGAACAACCCTCGTGGCATAAAAGCCGGGCATAACGTTAGGTTTTATTTAAGCCTATGAAGTACTTCCTTGCATGGTGCCGGTTCATATGTGAGCTCAACTGTTCAGCAGTGCCAGAGTTGTTTTCAATGAAAGGGGTTGCTGCATTATATTTGTCTTTCTGTGCTCGACTTGTGCAGTGCCAGCGCAATGACAACCCTAACTAGGGTTACTATACGTTAGGTTTTTCCCGGACATGTCCTCTTTCTTAGCTTTCCGTCCGGGAAGAAGGCGCCCCGCAAGTTACTATACGTCCGGATATTTACCCTGGGCATGTCCGCCTTCAAATTTCCCTCTGACTTTCAAGCGTCCTCCTTTTGGCTGTCCGAAATATGGTAACCCTAACGATTTTCGTGTGCCACTGATGACTTTGTTATACCTTTCCACGGTTAGGGGAAGTAGGTGAGATAACCAGACTTATGACCTTTCCTAAGAGATGTAGTACGATTGGAACTTACAGAGTATAATGTTCGCTTATATTGACGCGAAGGCAGGGTTCTCAAAGATTCGCAAGGAAAGAGCTGGGCACAGCGAAGTCCGTAACGGAAGAGAGAGTAGGAGCAGAGGGAGGGTGAGAAACGGAGGTGACTGTCCTGTCATCTAGCGTTCAACCAAAACGGTCAAACTTGAACAACTTAATCTAGGCCTGAGTGAGACTTAAGTCGAGGCAACAAAGTTCGCCTGAATCCATCTGCGTATGCCCCGTGTCTGATGCGCTCTTTGCAACTGGCAAGGCAATGCAAAATATCCAAGGGCGTGGCAGTTTCTAGAGGTGGGCGATCGCCCGGGGCGCCAGCGGGGAAAAGGGGTGGGGGGGGGGGGGGGCTCCACGCAAAGAAACACAATAATAATTGAAGCTTTTTGTTATTAGCGTCCACTTTATGCGAACTAGAGCTAATTGGGACGACAGAAAATTGAAATTATTAATGATATTTCGTATTCTGCCGTGCAACCTCCTACCAATGTTCCGGTGAGTCTGATAACAGTTTCAAAATCCGGCAGAAACCCCCCCCCCCCCTCCCTACTTTCCCCCTCGTACATGCGGCATGACGCCACGCTGCGGCTAGGCAGTGGGTATCGAGTAGGGTTATCGCGATAGGTCGATGTATCCATACTACTATCGATGATTGAAGGCATCGATAGTTTTTTCGGCCATCGCGATGTGTTGGCAAAATTTTTGAAGTAAAATGTCATTGGATTGAGACGAGTACGATGCAATAGTCCGTCCGGGCGGGGAAAGGAAGAGGCGGCGTGAACCACATGAGCTTGCAATTTCTTATCACGATCATATTCTAGAAATGCTGGGACTGACTGTATGAAAGACGGAAGGAAAAAAAAAAAGTTTGAATCGGAGGCAGGAAGTGGGAAAGGAAGAGGGGGGAAGACCGAGAATATATATATTTCTCTTCTGTTTCAGTCGTCGGCTCGATCTCATGAGGCGCATGCTGTGAAAGTGAACTGTTCTTTTGCTCCCTTCATTACGAAACGTACATCGGTTAATCCTGGGTTAATCCCCCCTCTCCGTATTCCTGTCTTTATCTTTTGTATGCAGGCTTAAGTTGTTTAATTGTTAACCTGCCCTGGGGCATTTTACCTCTTTACTTGACCCAAAGTGAATTTTTTACACGGATGTCGCTTGAATCTAGGGCTGTACCGATGTTTCGACAACCGCTGGTATGGCACCATCGGCAGGTTTCCTATCTGTCGGTGCCGATGTCCAAAGAGGACAGTGTAAAACGAAGAAAAAGAGAGGAAAAAAACGACGTGCTTGGCAACTGATTCTCAACGGCAATAACAAATACTGTATGGGCTATCCTGATGCATCCATCGATGAAAGGATGTCATTTTCGATAGTTGGAGGCATGGTAGGCTTCATTACTCGTTGCTAAGGTCACACTTTACCCCCCCCCCATCACAAGCGTCATGAGATTATTCCGCGCCCCCATCGAGGCAAGAAACAACGGAATTAAACCTCCGCTTTTGAGTTAAAGATTGAATCCTTCGGCAGTGTCCAGGAGTGAGGATTACACTTAGACTACAGTATGAGTGTGTCCTACTAAATGTGATTTTTTTAAATCAGTGTCATAATATAATATTGTAACATAAAAGTATTAGTATTCTTACAATTAAAAAACTGAATCTGTTTGCCTGGAGTGAGCTATTGAGTTAATATCTCGCATCTAAGGTTGTAAAATTACCGGTAAGGGAGAGGGCGTTACTTTCCGTTAATTTACAAGTAATTTACCGGTAATTACTAGCAGTGGCGGCTCGTGGGTAAAAATAGTGGGTAGGCAGCAGTGGTGCAAAAAAAAATAAGGGGGAGGGTGTGGTCACCCCCAAATGATTCCTTTGCACCCATATGATCCCCATTTCTATCCATATTGACCAATCAAGCGTCCTCTTATGATAGTAGCAGGCACATTTGCTCCTCTCTCAACCTCGCTGAGCATCCCCTCCCCCACAGGGGCGGATACAGAAATTTTTCATAGGGGGGTGGTTCCCAAGTTCCTACCTAACCCCCCCCCCGCCTGCCACCATTCCTCGTCCTTTCTCCTTTTTATTTTTCGTCTGGGGTAAGAACTTGAGTATCTACTTCACTGGCTCCAATAAATTTAATGCAGATGCTATTTTGAATGAATAAATCAAATGCAAGCCTGGCCATAGGGGGGCTGTCGCTCCCCCCCCCTGTATCCGCCACTGCTCCCCCACCCACCACTCTCCAGTCTCTTCAGAGGGTCACCCCCCCCCCCTCACCCCTTGACTATAGGCTTGACATAAAAAAAAAACTATAGATTCTTCCAATCATCGATAGTGGTACCGATGCATCGACTTATCGTGACAATCCAACTTGATACCCAGTCGCAGCGTAGCATCATGCCGCATATACGAGAGGAAGGTTGGGGGGGGCTTCTGCCCGATTATGAAACTGTTATCAGACTCACCCGTACGCTGGTAGGAGGCTCCACGGCATAACATGAAATATCATTAATTTAAAATTTTCTATCGTCCCGATTAGTGCTAGTTCGCATAAAGTGGACGCCAACCACATAAAAAAATGCCTGTTTTATTATAGTGCTTCTTTCCGCTGGCGCCCCCGCTTCGCTGGCACTCCCCTCCGCAGGCGCCCCCCCTCCGCTGGCGCCCCGGGCGATCGCCCGCTTCGCCCGCCCCTAGAAACGGCCCTGAGAACTAGCCATCAAGGAAATTACTTGCATCAAAAAGGAAACGTGACGAAGATTTAAACCTTCAATGAATGCAACTATATCATTGGAAGACACCCCAGGGATGCGAAGCACTGTCAGTCTAACAAAACATATCACTTGGAAACAGTGCCTCTTCCAAAGAGAGCTATGAATGCGGGGTAGGAATAGGGAACTGAGAATGACAGAAGCCTGTTCGAAATGATTCCTTATGCAGTCTGCATAATACTGTAGAACAGGTCTGATCAGGTGTGACAACCACAGAGGCTTCTACAAGCACGTGTTTCTGAGCAGAGGGTGTGAGCAAGCGATTCTCATCCTTCCTGCGCAAGGAGTAACTGCACGTCGTAGGCAAGCCTACCCTCACTCATTCCAATGCTGTGGTTCTCTTCCTTTTCTCCCTCTTCTCGTTCCTGCATTGGGCTCCAGGGAATTTGAGCCTAGCCAGCGTAGGCAAGCAGCGCCGTGCCTACTCTGGACGCATAATATCGATTTGCTTTTACCTCGCAATGGAAAAAAAAATATTTCCAACTGTGTCAATCGAAGAATTAATTATCAAATATTAATTTGAGAACTCTGATTGTAAACTGGGTAGGCACTGCCTACCCTGACGAGCCGCCACTGGATTAAACCCATGAAGTGCATAACTGTATCCCAGAGTTCCAGTGCCTCCCCCCGCACATCTCTCCATCCATGCTATGCTTATTGACGCTATCGACGTGTGATACATGGTAATCCTCAGAATGAATGAGAATCACACAAATTACATGGGGTCTGGCAACCCAGGAGCCAGGATCGTGCGCCTTGACAGGTGGGAAGACGCATGCGCAGAGCCCACAGAGACCGTTAGCAGAGGTGTGACTGCAGTCTTCGATCTTCCTTCGAATGCATACAGGCGGGAGTCCCATAGGCCTATTGTGATTTGCGCATGAATTTATTCCATCTCGGACTTCGTGCATGTTATTTATATGGTGCATCCAGGTAGGTGAGGGGATTTTCCTCAAAGAAGTATTGAGCCCTTACTAAAAGAGGGACGATTTCATTCGGGAATCACTAAGCAATGCCACGTCACTCCCCCATTTCAGCCTCCTTGTCCTCAGGTGCTCTGAATCTATTGATTTTGTCTCCTAGGTAGCTTACCCCTGATCTCATCAGTCAGGCTTGCGTTTGATTTGTTTATAAGCATAACCCTTCAAGATGAGTGCTTCAAACTCCAGCGACCGCATTCAGAAATTCAAAAACCGTGGAAAGAGCCAGGAGGTGAGTTCAGGTCTTGCCTAAGCCTAAAGTTAGCACTATTCGTGGCAGAACCTAGGCTCAAAACCCACCGTTAGACTTAGTCCTAATGGGCTTTCCTTCATTTTGTGCACAGAGTATACAGCCTTGCACAGTCTATTTTCACAAAAACTTCCTTGTGTGCACAGTATATTCCAACAGGTCCCACTACTAGGCCATGGTAACTTTTCCCATAGACAGTTTTATTCATGTCTCAGCATAAGGGTTGCCACCTTTGAAATTAGCAAAATATGGACATTGGTTTGCAGACATAGAAATATGGACTAATATATGAAGTATACTTGCATATGTGATTCTGCTGCAAATACCTACAGCCACCTTTAGCCAAAGTACCAATTGATGCTATAAGAGTGTGGCATACTACTCTGACTTGAAAAGAGTGGTTTTAGCTGTTATTAAGTTTTATTAATTTAAAAAATCTTAACAAATGTAAAGTTAGGATGATGCAGTGTCCATATTAAGACAAGTTTGCAGTATGGACAATGCATTTGAAATATTAACTGTCCATTCTAGTTATGAATGGGTAGCAACATTCCTCAGCTACTCAGCATTCCTGTGAAGTAGAGTCCTAGAAGGAGGTGGGAGCTGACCCAATTAGCTTTTCACAGAAATCAATGAATTACCATGCATGATGAATCCATAGTCTCATCCCTGCCTATTTATTATCTCAAGACAGAACTGATGTATGAGGAATCACTTGACAACATAAGCTTTGTTCATGCTGTTGCTGTGGTGGACTTGCAGGATGGCAAAATGACTCTTTTGTGCTTGAGTGCAGTTTGACCCTTGGGCCTGAGTTCACAATAGCTGCACTAGCATATGCACCCTATAGGCTGTGACTTTATTCATTGTCACTACTGTTTGCCTTGATTCCATAAATTTTTGCATTAGGACCTGAATGGGGTGTGATGGCCAAATGTAAAGTTTTTGTTGGTCAAGGAGTAGGCACAATCCAGGAGGTTTGCATTTTCCTTGTGTGACTTTTGATGCTATGGCCCCATGAGCAATCCTATTTCTGGTGGAATATATTTATTTGGGGTGGGGTGTGGTGTATGGCCACTGAATAATGGAAACAGACACTATATAGAGATCTGCAGGATGGGGGAAGGAAAATGTGACACGCCTGTGTAGTCAAAATGACAAACTGTCAATGAACAGTTTTGTTTTTATGGTGCATCCCAGGAGGTTAAATTAAATCTTCCATGGTTTAACTGATGGTAGGCTTATGGAACTTATGTTAAAGGTGGTATAAATTAATTGGCAAATAACTGTAATAATAGGTGTTAACAGGTATGGTTAGCTTACCACTAGCCTTTTCTACCCTTCTGTACCATTGTGCCTCAACATATCTTGTTACCCCTCAATTCCTGAGTTTTGATAGTGATACAATTTTTTCAACTCAAGGCATTGGGCTTAACTGGCGGTAAGGGGCTATGATTAGGAAGTTCACAATTCATTCATAACTAGAACTTGATCTGCAGAGATTTTGTAGGTAGGCCTTCTGGTGGAAAATCTCCTGCCTGATGCCAAGAGACCAGACCAGTAACAATGAAGTTATAAGGCAATGAAGAGTCTTGATCATGGAAAGCTCCAATAAAAGGAAAAATCTAACATAAAAAGGAAGAGTTAGCCTAATGGCAAATGTTAGAGATGTAGAATAGAATAGAATATATTTCCACATATTTGCAGGTAAGGAACAAAGATGAAGGTAAAGACAACAAAAATGAAAGAAAATACATAAATAAGTAAATAAATAAAATTAGAGAGAGAGAGAGGAGAGGGGGAAAAAATAAAAGAAAGCAAATGCCAATAAGGCCCATTCATTGAACCCAATTGGGTTTGCCCTGGATGGCTTGGTTGGGATGCAACAAAATATTTTATTGATTTATGTATTGCTTTTTTTGTTTGTTTTTTTTAATTATAGGATCTTAATGTACCAAAGAAGGTAGTAACAAGAAATCACACTCAGTCTTGAATTGATGGAAAATAATTTTGCTCTCAGGAACTCCGTCGGAAGAGGTTAGAGATGAACATTGAGCTAAGGAAGGCCAAAAAGGATGATCAGCTCTCCAAGAAGCGGAATCTCAAGATCAGTGAATTTGGCTCCTCTACAGATGAGAAGTCTGCAGTGAGTGAAAGTTGTTTTATGAATCTGACATTTTGCAAAAATTTTGTATTTGTAAGCCTAAATCATTTGCAAATGCCTTAAGATGAAGGCATGGTTAGGGTAAGTCTCTAAGTAAGGTAAGAATAAGTTAGAGTAAGTCTTATTTGACACCTGAAGAATGGGGAATTTGGACTGTTGACTTGGCTTTTGCAGGCTCTTGAAATGACCTTGGAGGAGATCATGGAGGCAATCAAATCTGGAATTCCTGAACAGGAGTTGATGGCAATGACCCAAGCACGTAAAATGCTGTCTCGGGAAAAGAACCCACCAATTGACAAATTGGTTGAAGCAGGACTTGTCCCTTATTGTGTTGGATTCCTTGGAAGATTCAGCAGGTCTTTCTCAATCCCCTATTACTCTTCCCCTTTTTTTTTTTTTTAAAGGATAAGTTGAGCAGTAATTGGAATCAGCTGATGTGGGAGATAAACTTGTCCATTTCTTCCTGATCATGAATTGGGCAACCCTATTAATATCTGTGAGCATACATGATGGGATTAGGTTTTTGCTGGGGGGAGGCTCATTTCACAGAAAGTAATTCCCCAGACAGAACATATTAACACTGAGCTGAAGGTCCTTTTCTAGATCTAAGAGCTGTGAGACATTGCATTTGGTTGAACATAGCTGCAGCTGTGCCTGGTGTGTAGCATTTACGCCATTGTCAACGGAACTTGTGGCGTCTACATTTTTCCATGATCCATTCAATGCTAATGAGAGAGAAAAATTATATTGGCATTTATTAATGGGAAGTGCCTCATGATGGCATCTTGGGATGGAATGGATTTTTTAAAATGGTTATCTGAGTTGCACTATCATGAATCAAGGCTCATGAATTAACAATGAATGAATCATCATTGTTGATTCATGATCAACAATGGATGAACAAGGAAAGAATTGAGAGAAGGTCTGGGGACAATCAACTGCAGGAAGCAAAGTTTAGTGCAATGCCTACGAAGTTCATAGTGGAAATTGGTTTTGTGTCATTACTTTTCCCGAGTAAGACTAGGCCTCCTGCATTGTGAAATGTTCTAGAATGGTGCCATGAATAGGTGGTGGAGGTACCTATTATGACATTTCTCCTAAATACCCTGTACTGTTCTTTTCAAGATCACTTCTGTGATGGTTTGGAAGTGAGAAATGTAATGCTCTAGGCAAGCTTTGTTAGTCAAGTGTGATGTCTAGAAGTTGTCAGTATGAAAATTAATGGTGTGAGACGTTCTCTAAAATAGTACTGAAGTACTCGCTATTATTCTGTGAAATGGTCCCATTTCTATAAAACAGTTGCTCTGTGTCTCAGCTGTGAAGTGGTTTTCTGCTAAATACCTCCAACCCATTTATTAATTTGCCCAAGGAAGGCTGCTAACAAGGCCTTGAAAGAAAGAGTCCTTTTGTGCCAAGCTACATTTACATGTATGCCTATTCCTTGTTAATTCTTTTTTGTCTTTGGTGTTCTTGTATCATCAGCATCAATGATGTAGGAACCGATCCATGGTACTGATGGATCGTTGAAAATAATTGATGTATTTTTAAAGCATGATTATTCAGTCTGTTTCTGTGACCTGCATTTTTATTATGTAATATTGACACTATGATGATTATTGCAATAATCAGGCAACTGTCCATTTCTTAAATATTACCATTGATGCATACCTAGTTTTTAGAGCTTCAAATCCCATTAAAAGATAATCCAAAATTATTGTACTTCAGAGAACTTGACTGTCCATTGACCCTATTTCTTGTATTACATTATTCTGCTCACTGCCACATGAGAGGAACTTTAACCTGGGTTCAGTTTCTAGAAGATTTTTTGATAGGCTCCAAGTCACCAAATTTGATTCTAAGTAACCCCTATTATTATAATTCTGAGTTTTACTGGAATTGGGATTTGACTTGCATTTGTTAGGGATTTGCTCATTGGTTTTCTTTATAAACCCTTGAAGCTTATCAATAGCTTTAACTTGATTTATTTTTTAAATTTCCAGTGTTTATTGAGAAAATGTCTGATACAAAATTATACTTTTTCATTTCATCTAGCCCACCCCTTCAGTTTGAAGCAGCCTGGGCTTTGACCAACATTGCATCAGGAACTTCTGAGCAGACAAAAATGGTGGTTGAGGCTGGAGCTACCATCCCCATGATCAAGCTGTTGGGTTCCCCACAGCCACATGTAGCTGAGCAGGCCATCTGGGCATTAGGAAACATTGCAGGAGATGGCCCCCTATTCCGTGACCTCATCCTGCGGAGTGGGGTGGTTGCCCCCATCCTACAATTGGTCACCCCAGAGACTCCAGTCACCTTCTTGCGCAATATTACCTGGACGATCTCCAACCTCTGCCGCAACAAGAATCCATCTCCTCCTTTTGAATTTGTCTCGAAATTCCTTCCAGTTCTGACCCGACTGATACATAACCCTGACCAGGAAGTCATTAGTGAGTACCATGCATCATTCACCCATGATAATATCTCATATATTGTTACTGGAATCTGATCTGGATTCAGAAGTGATATTGTTCTCTTGCAATATGTATCTATTCATTCATTGGCATTGGTTCAAAGTTTCCTTTTTAACTGGGAGTTTTGGCATTTTTACAGTTTATCATTAACTAGCCATGCTGACATCAATACATATTGTGATAAATTGATGCTAAATCAAGTGCAGGTGATGCAAGTAGCAGGTGAAAAAAAAAAGCTGATAAAAAAACTTATTAGAAAAGATGATGCTCTGCTTATGCTGTCCATACTTGAACAATTTTTATGCTCAGGTTTTTACTTCTTTTTGCAGCTGATGCAACATGGGCCCTGTCATATATGACAGATGGGAGCAATGACAAGATTGAGGAAGTAATCAAGAGTGGAGTGGTTCCCCGCCTCATCCAACTCCTTGCCAGTGACCATATGCACACTGTGATTCCTGCCTTGCGAGCAGTGGGCAACATTGTGACTGGTACTGATGACCAAACACAAGAGGTGCTCAAGCATGGGGCTCTTGGTGTATTCCCTCGCCTTCTCTCCTTGCCCAAGAACAACATTGTGAAAGAGGCCTGCTGGACCATCTCTAACATCACAGCTGGGACTGTTGAACAAATCCAGGCTGTCATCAATGCAAATCTCATACCTTACCTCATTAATGTTCTTGAAAAGGTGAGGAAAACATCACTAAAGTGCTCCAGGTTTGATGCTTGTCTAAATGTAGGTCTGTGCTGTGACACTGATTTTGAATTGAATCTAACTATCCTTGATGGGAAAAAAAAAGAATGAGGTTGCCTTGCACCTTGCAAACATGGATTAATGTGAGAGAACTATTTTCACATTTAATCAGATTCCTTTATTTTTCAGATATTGAAAATTTTTTGTGGGAATTTTGTTTTTAATCAGAAAAGGACCCTTCTTTGTCATTGATAGTATTGCCTTAATTCCTTGGGTTCTGTCAAAGTTCAAGAGTTTGAAATGTGAATGCTGAGAGTTTTCATTATTCTAGGAGTTGAGTGTAACAGGAGTGAGCTCTTTGAGAACATATGGATGGTTCCAGCATACTACAGTGAATGATTGAGAGTTTGAAGAAGTTATTCAGTCTTTCATTGTGTTCATCCTTAGGGAGAGTCCCGCTGCCAAAAGGAAGCTGCCTGGGCTGTGACCAACATCACTTCTGGTGGGTCAGTGGAGCAGGTGGTCATCCTGTGTCAGTTTGGGGCCATCCCAGCCATGTGCAACCTGTTGACGTCCAAGGATGCCCGCACATTGATGGTGATCCTTGATGGCATCCACAATGTCCTCAATGCAGCCCAACGCCTAGGACCAGATCAGGTGGAGCGTGTGGCCTTGCTCATTGAACAGTGTGAGGGACTGGACAAGATCGAGGCCCTGCAGAATCATGAAAATGAGGAGGTCTACAAAAAAGTTTACAAGATGCTGGAAACATTCTTCATTGATGAGGTCAGTTCTACCAATTTAAAATATACAGAGTGGGCAAAAAAAAAAGATACTTGTTTTAAAAAATTCATATCTCCTAAACTAATAACGCTATGGTGATGAAAAAATACCAAAATAAAGTTCATTCAATTCTCTTTATTATGATATGGTGGTTTTTGCCAAATGGGTAATTATTATTGCAGTAATTAGCGTTTGAAAAAAATTACCCCCGAAAAGTAGTTGCACAACTGAATTTCTACAAATGATACTTTATTTCTCTTATTTTGTGATAGTATGTGTTGTCCTGCTTGATAAAATTTCACTTCCCAGTTCATCCAGCCACAAATGGTTCAATATGGCCACCACTTTGCCGTAAAACAGCCCGCAATCATCCTCGCCATTTACCAATAGCTTTTGCAATTGAGGTTAGGTGAACTTCTTCCCACCCGGCCAAAATTTGTTCCTTCAACTGCTCAACCATACGAATTCTCTGTCCATGGTACACTTTTCTTCTAAAGCAGACCACACAAAACAATCCACAGGATTCAGATCAGGACTGTTGGGTGGCCAGCTGTCTGGCTCTATGAAGTCCGTGCACAATTTTCCTGAAGAAAGTCAATGGTAGCTATAGCTGTGTGAGCAGGAGCTCCATCTTGCATGAAGGTGTAGTTGGACATTTGATCTTCAATTTCTGGCAATGTTGCAGACAGGTCACTGCAATAGCTTTGCAAGTTGATTTTAACTCCACAATCTATTAAATAAATTATTGGTTTTCCCATTGAAGAAACAGCCAAAGATACTATCGCAGAGTCCGAGAAATGAGCGCTCTCACACAGTAGTCACACACAGCTGACAGCTGCATAGACACAATCATTTTGGGTATTGTGAAGCCTCTCAACAGTGAATCATTTCTCATCCGAGAACCAGATTTTGCTTGCCGAGGGAAAATGGTCTAGAAGTTTTCTGCAGTGATCCAAGCACTTTTTTTGCACTCGCTCAGACAATTCCTGCACAGGAACTCACTTGAAGGTTTTCAGCTTCAAGTCTTTTTTAATGATGTTCTGCACCAAACCATGTTTTATTCCCATTTCTTTCACAATGCACCGTGCACTCAGACTCTTCCCTGGATGTCCTTGACTACAGATTAATTCACCAACACTCTTTGAATGTTTTCTCGAGTTCTTGCACTTTTGGGACATCCACTTCCAGCAAGGCGCTTTCCACTACCATGGTCACGAAGTTTCCGTTAAAAAAGCTGTGACTGTTGATTTTTTCCAACTCCGAGCAGGATATTCAGCAAGAATTTTGTTCAGTGAATAGTTTTTTTCCCAGAGCACACCTGGATCAGGCATTTATCACTTTCACTCAAAACCATTTGTAAAGGCCCTAGAATAATTAATAATAAATCTCAAATAATGAAGAACTCCAGTCAGTCATGAATAATCAGGATGCTGATAAAAAGGTCAAACTGCTGGTGCTTGACAAAGAACTCTTATTCAAAATCTGATCCAGTGGTCCCGCTTGCCCATGGGTGGGCATTAAGCTGCATCTTACTTTACCCACATTTGTAAAGAACTTTTGGATTTTTTTGCATTAACTTGAACATCATAACAGTAAATACAGAGATTCAGTGAAAGCCCTTAGGAAAGTAGATAAACACAATTCCATGGGTTTATAATAGTGTAAGTTCCAATAGGAAGGGAATTGTCTGGGTTTTCATGAGTTGTGACCATATGGTATGCTGTGATTGATATTACTGTTATGGGTCTTATCTTGATCTTCTGAGATTGCTTGAAATATCCTTTTTAAAGCATGTACTTTAGCTGCAGCCTATTGACTTGTCTGCAGTGTGCTGATTGTGGCTGAAATCTAAAAGATTGCAAATTATGCACTCCTCTTCCAAAGTACTGTCTATCCTAGCAAAAGTTGCACCTTTTGGCATATGGATATGTTTGTGTCGCACAGCTGCTAACTTTCTGAAAAGTAGCATTTTTTTGTCATTCGAAAAATACTAGGAAAAGACTTGGTATATCTGTAAAGTTTTGATAAATTATCCTGATTACTCACCAATGTGCAACTATGACTAAAGCATTTCCTGTCATTGGGCATTATAGCCCTCATAGCACAAGTATATCCCAGAGATATCCTCTTGGGACAAGTGAGAAGACCCAGACATTACATGTGGGGACATATTAGGGATGTCAAAATGTCTGGGTGTAAAGACATCCCAAGGATGTCTCTTTCTTGCAACGCAAGTATATCTGAAGGATGTCCCAGAGATATTGTCTAGGGACAAGTGAGAAGTCCCAGGTAGTACTTGCAGGTGCCTTCCTACCTGCAATGGACTCATTATCTACCACACAGGACAACCCGTTACTTACAAATATGTCTCTATATATGATCTAGGAATACCTAATCTTTAGTTCTTGACTGATTGGAGAGTGACAGTAAAGAGGGAGGAAAATCCTGTTCCTGAAAGACCCCAATAAGACACACATCTCCAAGGGATGAAATTTAGAAATTTTCATTAGAAGTCTTGGACAAGATCTTTAGGCCTTATGCCTTTTGAAAAGTATGGGCTCGGGTCTCCTTCATCATCCATAGTATCCAGATATGCCATTCAGACATTAATGAGAATATAACAGAATAAATTAAAATTTGAACTACAATTTTCTCACTTTCCCATGTGGCAGTTTCTTGATGTATGGTATGAAAATACTTATCCTCAGGACAAATCAAGTAGATAAATTTGACAAAAAAGATCTGAGGTTGGATATCAAGGTCCATGGGAGGCATCTACTGTTGAAGGCATGCACCTGACTGAAGATGATAAAGAGCACTTAACCCATTGACGCCGGGAACCATAATATTACGTTTTTAAACCCATAGTTTTCTGCAGTCGCTGGGCATGAATGGGTTAAGACATCTAAAGGCATCCCTAAAATGTCCTGAAGACATTCTCCTTAAGATGTTGAAAAGCATTTGACTGAAGATGTCTTAAAGATATCCCTTTCAGGATATCTATAAGAACCTGTGTGAAGATGTCCCAAAGACATCCCTCTGGAGATGTCTGAGACCGTCTTAAAGATATCTTCAGGATATCCCGTGAAGATCTTGGGACAAGATGTCTGGTTGGGGGCGTCCCTGAGATATCACTGTTCTGTATGGGTAGTTGCATAACCATCATATGGTTATGCAAATTATTAAGAAATTCAGTGATTCTATGGTTAGTGAATGGGTTAGGCTTTGATATACAAGATTAAATATAATCCCCAGGTATATCAAGGAAGCCCATCATCCTTACGGTGAATCTTTTGTACTTTAGGAGGAGAAAGCTGAAGTGAATGGTGAAGGAATTGATGCTCTCACTCCTCCTGCTGATCATTACTCCTTCTGAGACCTGAATTGTCTCCGGTGTCATTGAAAATTAAACTTGTTTGGATTTTTCACTTAAGCCTACTTTGTGTATTTTAAAAATATACCCATGTGTAGTTTATCTGTTTGCATGATAATAAAAATAATCTCTACTTGCTCAAAACAAAATATGAGCTTGAGTTCATCTATTTATTTTTTTTATGCAAGTGGTTTATTGAGGTGAGCCATGTTTAATCTTGTCTGCTTGATCTGAGGATTTCAAAGTGCTAATTGGGTGTTTGAGAGTGCTAAATTTCAAATAAAGATTCTTTCATAGAAGCTGATGATGCTTGCAAGTTTATTCTGAGAATTGGGAACACATAGGCTAGCTGTGAAGGACACTGTTAAGGACAGTTGGTAGAGGATAATGTTATATTCTGGATATGAACATGCATTTTTGTAACTTTGGAGGGACTTCACTAGTCACTCAATTCCTGCTCTAGGGGTTGTAACACATTTTGATTTTATGCTACAAAAGAAAGACACTTGAGCAACAGGAAGGAACTGTAATGATTCTTGAAAGACAGAAAGTTAAGTTTTAAGCTTCCACAATAGGCAGCATTTTCATAAAAACAACTATGCCATGCATACATAGATGGTGTAGGCCTTAACATCGATAATATTCATGAATCAGCAACAAGGGTAATATTTTCCTGGAAGAAGTGATTTCTTTTGCTCCATCAAGCTGTGTATATACAGGGTGGGCCAAAAAAAAGGTAACTGAAATATCTGAACTGGAACCATTTGGATTATTAAAGATTATTAGCCATTCCATGTTTTATCTTCATAGAACTGTGCTATTCATATATAGAACCATTATATTGGATTATTCTAAGACTTTATATCAACAGATTCACTGACAAATGGCATGTCAACCATGTTCACCATCCTGTGAACACAGCTTCCTCCTTTGGATAATGTCATTGATAATATGACTTTAGATGTTCAGTACAATTCCCAAATTTTCATTCCTAGGGACTGAATGAGTTCTGCCAGAATGCCCATTTTTTGTATTGACAACTACCCATGTTCCAGAACTTCAGCATCAACTGAAAGGCCTTTCTGAGAGAATTTTTATGGAGCCAGTTGTGGGAATTTATGAAAGCAGCTGTATTGACTACAGTTTGCAGTTTCCACCTTCATCATAACTTCTAAAATAATGCTCACCAAGCCAAATCCTTTCACTGTACACTGAGGCATATTTATTTAAGATTGCCTGCAACAACTGAAATTTATATGTAACACATGGATTACCTTTTCTCTGTCTCACCTTGTATTAAAATATATATATAGTGCTATATTAAGGGTACATCACAAACATAACATGATTAACCTTTCCCTGGCATTGGCATCTCCTGCTGCCCAGGAGACACCAATGCCTTCAGGAGGTTGAATTAAATTCCTGCCAGGCAAATGGTGAAATTCTGGAAAGATTCGATCTTGCATAATCGTAAACCTTCAGAAAGGAAGTCAAAGACAGCTGTTCTCTGAAGCATCAGCAGTATTTTAAATACAGAGTCCATAAATATGAAGACACATGACATGACAGACATGAAAGTATGACTACCAGAGAATATGCTTGATACCAAATATCATACCAGTTCTGATATTCTTGTCCTAAACATAATGAATGGACAACTTCAATTGATCTTTCATTGAATATTCCCTCTTTGGATTGTTTCTCACAAGAAATACAGTTGAGTCAAAATGAAGGAGACACTCCTGCATTAGTAAGCCAAGTTTTGTCATGAAATAGCATTACTGATGAAGATTTTTGCAAAAGTAAAAGCGTATATAAAACTTTCATCTTCAGTAACAAGTGTGTATTTGCTGAATACTATAAAACATGAGTTCTTGGAGTAATTAGCTATGGCCAGTAAACTATTAAAAATGAGTTAATTGTAAAGGAAAGTAAGTAAAGTATGGTGACTGACATGAATGTTTCTACAGTATTTGATAGATTATGGACCCGTTTAGGATACAGGTATGTTACGGGTATTCTCACCATATAGAGACATGTTTAATTACAAACGAGGAGCCATCTAAAAGTTCCAGGACTGGCCTTTGTACGTGAAAACTAGGTACACAAATAAGGTTTCAGTATGCTCCCCTTCAAAACAGCTTCCATAGCTTGTGATTCTCTTCTCCCCACTGTTGTAAAGTGCATGGAACACTGGCTGTAAGCCATTTTTCGTAACCACCTTGAAGGTGTTGGTCGCAGCTGATTGGAGAGTGCCTGTGTCGACAAAGCTGTGGCCTTTCAGATGGAACTTCATCTGGGAAAAAGCATGAAGTCACAAGTCATGAGGTACAGTGAATAGGATGTAAGAGTAATTTCAGCCCATGATTGGTTAGAAATTCTATGGTTCTCAGCTTTGGGTATGAGGCCATATATTTTCATTCTCATGTTTTTATGTGACTTGTGCCAACACAATATGTTCATATATGTCCATATGTATCAGACTGGCTAAATATTTGTTATACTGCCATTTTATACAGGGTCCGGCTGAAGTAACGGGACATGAGGAATTACTACAGAGATACTATACTATAGTGTGGTTACATAGACAAGCATATATGCTTGCCTACATCTTGCCAAGTTGCTGTGTGCCCTGCTATAATTAACAAAATTATAAAAAAAAAGACCTGAGGTTGGAATGAAGACCAAGCCCCATGTTCACAAACTGCAGCCTCATCATGTTGCAGAAAGGTCCATGAAAGCCATCTAGCAGGAGACAGGTGGAATTTATGTGGTCATCCTACTTGAAGCATCGATTTACCTGAGTGATAGGAACAAAGTTTGAGCCATATACTACTGTCCTCATGGTGAAAAAACATTTAAAAAGTGGTTCCTGGAGTGCAATAAATGTTTTTCACCTGGATTCATGGTCGTTGCTGGCTTTTTGCTGAAATTGGAAGTTGCAGATCCATAGAGTGGCCAAGGGTGTCAATGATCAATTCTCAATATTACCAAGATCAAGTTTTGAGGTAAATTTCTGAAAAGGAAATCCTCCATCTGTATGCACCTGAGACTCCTGTGGTGTTCTTACACCTGAATGAAGCATTGACCCACATTTTCAAGGCAACAGCTGCCTTCTTGAGCCAAATGCCCCAGGAATCATGGCGATACTGTTCAGACATTCCAGTGAAGTTTGTAGATGCAGCACCAATGGACCTCTGTGCCTTTGGGTTGCTGAGGCTAGTCTTGGGAAGTTGATTACCAAGCTCTTTGGATGGTCTCTAAAAAGTGTGCAAGTGGGAGCATTTGGATCTCACAATGCTTCAGAGGAGCTTTCTTCTTGGAAAGTACAATGCAGAGCTATTGTCAAAAACTTGGGAATCAGTTAGAGCATAACCTGGGATGGAGAAGGAGCCTCCATGGCATGCAAACCTCTTAAAATTAGTTTTTCATGAAGTTCAAACTCTGAGTACTCCAGGGAGTATTCAGAGTTCCAGGGATGTTGGAAAACTCACAAAGAAAACTTCCCTCTTGATTCAAAAATAAAACTTGTCAAACAATCCATTTTGAAGGGGGATCACTCTATTTTGCCTAAAATTAACCCAAAGGATTATATTAATGAAATGCAGAATGGAAACTATTAATATGTAGGAAAATCTATCGTATTTTTCGGGCCATAGGATGAGGTGATGCTGAGAAAATATGCCAAATGCCTGAGGAACAAGGGCAGCATCACTGGTGACACCAGTTTCCTTTTTCTCATTCCCTCAAACTTATTTTTTATTGGCCAATTGTCGAGAGTTTAATTGCAGAGCTATGATGAATACTGAAAGTGACTTCATCAATTTGTTTGAGGATTTGATCATAAATTGGGATGCTTGGCATGCATGAGATTGATGCAAACATCCCTTACGCCTATGCTGATCAGATGCTCAAACATGATGGTAAACCTTCCTTTTGGAGACTTGGGCTTGGCATAATCTAGTTAGATGCTCAAGGATGGTATTAAAAAAAAAAAGGAAAGTGGCATCAGTGGTGTTGCCTCCATTCCTTGGACATTCCGTAAATTTTCTCTGCATTTCCTCATCCTTGAATTTTGGTCTTCTCGTTAAATTAATACAGGGTGGTACACAATTGTCTCCTCAAAGTAAAATCTTATCACTCAGGAAGTATACATCTGGTTTCAATGATATATGACTCAAATGATAGCCCATTCAATATATTTTTAGTGATAATTTTCAATATTGCCTAGTAAACTAAAAGTTACATCCTTAAAAATGAAAGCCCCCAAATCACAAGTGTTCAATATGACTTCCACCATTTTCAACCATCTCTGGTCCTACTGTGATGAGGGCATTCCTAATGGCCTATCTGGTTGTCTAGGTCTGCCAATAAATCTCTTGCTTGAGATACCCCCAGAGGAAGAAGTTCCAAGGGGTAAGATCAGGACTTCATGATGGTCCTCAGTTCTATCCATCAATCAGGAAAAGATACATCTAACCATTTCTCACTTCTCTGGTGAAATGAGGTGCTCTATCTTGCAGGAAAATGATATCTCACACCTCTGGCAATTCTTGAATCTCTGGCCAAATAAGTTTTTGAGCATTTAGAGGTAGTGTGCATTCACGGTGTCTGGTGTGAAAGGTCCATTATTCCTTCACTCCAAATCGTATCCCAGACTATGACTTTTGGAGAATGGAGGGGCTGCTCTTAATAGGTATGTGAATTTTCATGAGCCCAAATTTGACAATTTTGCTTATTCATGGTTCCATCCAAGTCAAACTTCACTTCATCCCTGAAGATGAGGCTGAGATAAGTTGGATTCTGCTCCATTTTCTCTAGTAAATTTTCAGTATATTTTACTTGCTTATCTTTTTCAGGGTCTGCCAAGGCTTGCAGAACTGGTATCTTGTATGCCTTAAGCTTCCAGACCTTGAGAATATGTAGCAAAGTCAACCAGCTGCAATTAAGTCCTGAGTTGACATTTTTTAATTATTGAGGAATTTGTCCTGGATTCATTGCATTTTTCCAGCCAACCAAACAGAGCAAACCTCTCCAGGCTTTCCTCTAGGTTTCTGGCCCATAATGAAACCAGTTTTCATAAACCTCTTAGGGTAAAACCACCAATGTTCCAACAGTTAAGCCCATATAAGACTGTAATTCACCTGTCATGCCTTTATGCTACAACCCAGATACTTCATTTTTGGCATCCAGCAGCACAATGAGTAGATATGAATACAATAAAGATGATGATCATTGAAGCCTTATGGCTTCCAATAATTCCTATTACGCTGGTGTCCAAACTTAGATGCGAAAAAATGAAGTTTGAACACAATGTAGTTTGGGCACACCAGAAGCAAGGCAGAAATCTGCTCTTTGCATGTACACTCCCTTGTAGCAGTGCTCTACATTCCCTAGTTTACTGTGGAATAAGAATTTATCACAGAATATAACAATATAACAAGGGAAGTGTTTCTCAAGTGTAGGTCGTCTCCATAAGTATTCTTGAATTTCTCATGTCCACAACATAACATTCATTTCTGCCAAATATTTTGAAATTGTGCTCAATGATTGTGACCACTGCAATTTAGTAACATGGTCATCCTGGGTTAAGAACTCTCTCTGATGTCAATCTTACAAATGTGTATTTATTAACAATAAACATCAATGTCTGAAATTAGGAGATTTTACCATATGAATTGCCTTTATGGTCTTTTTTTCTATCAGGAACTGAGGCATTTGAACCTAAAGTGAGAAATTTCTAAATTTTCTCTGCACCAAAACTCCACTCTCCAAATTATCAAACCAAATGGCAATCTTTGTCTTCTGCAGGATACTGAGGCCACCCAGGATGCAGACAATCCCTTGTGATGCATGAAAAACTCACAAACGAATTGTGAAAAGATGGAATTGCAAATTTGGTATTAGTATAATATAGCTTCGTGCTCAGGTTTGGTATTTTATATGAAATTTTAATGTTCTTTGAGGGTTTTAATACTATTTGCGACACTTCATTACTTATGCAAACACAAGTATGGGAATTTTAGAACTTTTAGCCTTTTTTAAAATCAATATTTGTCTCTGCCTCTGTCGTATTTCACAACAGGGAAATTCTGCATGTCTCATTTCACATTGCAAGCAATCCTTGAAAAAGAAAATTCTCAACCATTCATCAAATATGGAGGACCAATGTGAGTTAGGTTAGATTAAATTTGGTTTTTTCATGCTTAAATTCCTCATCCTGTTCTGTTCTGAAGACAGTCTTAACATTGATTCAGTGTCAAAGGCCAAAGGGTGAGAAAGTCAAGCAATTTTGGGGGATGATGGGTCAGTTGGGTTAAAAAATAATCGCAGCATCACAAATCATTTGACAGAAGGAACAGAGCACAGATAGCTACGCTTGGAACCAAGGGAATGTGGCTTTTGTGCTGCAAACTGTTCCTTCTGTCAAATGATTATATCTCATGAGGCAATTGCATGTAAATGTCAAATTAGGTATTGTTAGAAAGGGCATAAAAAACACTTGGAATCAAGTATTGAAACCACAAGTTCCAACTATGGCAAGTGTAGATATCTTCCACTGAACTTAATCAAAATCAAACTGTTTGATCAAGTGGAAGTTCTTGTTTTAGCTTCAGAGAATAATGTCTTAAAACAATCTAAAGACGACAGTTTCACAATTAAAATGACACCATAACGAAGCTTTTATCTTGAATAGAAGAGAAGCTATAGCAAAAATAGTCTCACAATTCCAGTCCATATAGGCACCAGGAGCCAAAAATAGGTGACACTCAAATGCATATATCTTGAGATCAGAGTGAGATGAAAAAAATCTCTGTAATTAATTTTCTTATAATCAATTCCTCTATATGCATACCGATTTTTGTCAAAATCAAAGATGGCTGAGCTCATCCTCTGGTTGATTTGCTGTGGAGTGACCAAAGAGTCAAGAAATGTTACACTAATTATGACTCTTTTTTGGTCGTTCCTCCCAAACTATCTTTCACCCCACACTAATATTACACCAAATTGCTCAGTAGGAGCAGACAAATTGATTGATACCATATATGGCACCAAAAGAAAATGTAGGTGACTCTTGAATCACCCTTGTCTCTTTTAATTTTCTGAAGCCTTTTAATAGCTTGGCCTCCCTGAAAATAAATTTTTATATTGGAAAACACATTTATTTTCTCAATTCCTGTTAAAATGGGCCATAAGGGAGGGGGGGATGGCAGTCTTTTTGAAGCACCCTGTACAGGGTGCAGACTATTCTCCCTTTGTGATTCATTCCACAAGAAGTTGCTCTTCACATGTCTTTGAGCAAAATGGTTAAATGTTCAAAGATGTCAGATGCTCTTGGTTTTTTTCTTCAAAATAACTTTCATATCAAACAAAAATACATAATTATATATTCTTATAAAATACACCAATGACAAGAACAGTGATTCTGTACTTACAAGACCTTGAGAAAAATATGAACATCTGAGAAAATATACTAGTTCATAAAAATCGAAGTTGAGTGGAGGAAAAAATTGATTTGTCAGGCCAGTTTGATGGAAGACAAGAGAAGAGCAAGAGAAATTTTGAAATGGCAATCACAAATACATTTTGAGGAGGATGGGAAGAACTTTGCTCTTTCTATCCAAGGCAACTTCCAAAGCACTTGAGGACAGCATCACGGGCAAATGGGATGTATGATAGGGAGTACCACAACATGGAAAAGAATTGGATGATGAGGAACAGGATGACAAGCCCTTTGTTCTTCCACTGTAAGAAAATTCCATCCAAGTTGAAACAAGAAGTTGCACAAATTTTCATGATTCCTATGGTTCAAAATAATTCAAACAGATTCTAATATATCCTGCTGCACATTTAGGTTCTTGTATATATCATTCACTATAGATTCATAGGACAGGAAAATAAAGTTTTCAATAGTGTTGACATATGAATGAAAACAAACCAACTGCTAGCTATAAATTCAAAGAGGCCCTTGAAAGTGGTTCAGCATATAATTAAATGAGAATGTTTTGGATGGGATAATGCTTTGGATTAAAGAAAATATTATGAGGCAGTGGTCAGATGAAAACACACAGAAAAGCAAGAAGCATACAGATATTTGCTTCTGAGGGAAATTTTTACTATTTCACAGAATAACTGCACAATCATTCCAATTCCTGAAGTGATTCATTTCTTTAAGCAAAAAACTTTGAAATTTTTTCAAGCCATGTTTGAAACCTGTTGAAACTTTCAAGACTTTTAACCATTACTGACTAAGAAAATCCTGCATTTTGGAATCTGAATCCTGTCTCACCCAGATTGCTGCCAAGAGTGTAAGGATGAGGGCTACCAGCATGACAACAGTGGCAACAGCTCGTGTGGCAGCAAACATCTTCTTCAGCTGATTCCATGGGCCCATCAGGAAGAATGTACTATTCCAGGAATAGATAGGCAAGATAATAGTAGTTTCAAATGCTATAATCTGAATTTCACCTTTGCAATTTTAAACACAAAACATTTCTCTTGGAGGAATATGTGTATATCTCCAAAAGGTAAGCACATCAACCTTGTTAAATATGATAAGAAAGCTGATGAATGCAAAATTCACCACAAATCAAGGTGACACTGAATACACAGAATGCAGAACCATTTTTCTCAATAAAAAATAAATAAAAATCAAGTTATCTTCTGTACCATGAATGGTTAACTTGAATCAACTTACCCATATTTAGGTTCTTGGTAGTTATTATTTAAATGATGCTATTTGTGGTGGCTTTGAAACTTTAAATTTTACATTCATGCATATTTTAATATTTAGGGACCCCTGAAATATGAAAATTTAGGTGTATTATTAGTCACTGTAAAAATGGCAGCTAGTAATTTCCCTAGTGCCAATCACACCATGCAGACCTAACCCTTTCCTGGCTGACCAAAATGTAGCATTATATTTTCTACTTGCATTTAGTACCTTTCAATAACCTCTCATCATTCAGTGACTTTTTATAATTAAAACAAGAGCACCATGTTTTCCCTGGCAAACTTGTGAAAACATTAAATCTCTCTCTCACACAAATATCCAGCTCCAATTTTGTGTTTCACTAGCATTGTTCCAACTCTGCAATTAGTATTTCTTCTATTAGCAGATTTTTTTGCATGGGACAAGTGACCAGGAGAACCTGATGAGAAACCATGTGGGACAAAATCTTTCAACAGCACAAATGGGAAGGCTTGGGACTCGAGGTAGAAAGGCTATAGAATATGAGATGGACAACAGCAGTATTTAGGTGGATATTCATGGGGTTGGGGTTAATTTAGAAACACAATGACTATAACAGGTCCCAGTACTCACCCCAACAATAGATAATGAAGAAGATGCCAAGGAAAGAGCTGCTTAATTGAAAGTAAAAAAAAAGAAAGTGAAATCAGAAGGGAAATCTATCACAAATTTGAGAAATCAGAATAAAAAATATAAAAAAATTTTGCCAACACCAATCAGTGCTAAATACATGGAATCACTCAAAAACACACATTTTGCATGGTATTTACTGAATTTCTATTGACATCTTACTGTGCAACAGAGGTCTACATGGTTTTAGCGATTGATACATCTCAGTTTTCACTGGGCACTTTGTCCAAGGTTTCCTCCATCACTGGGTCTGCAACAGAGCTTTCAGTGTGATAATTGTGCAGGTGTGACAACCACTCACCTAAGACTTGTCTTTACCTACTTATAGTGACATCATGAAACAGACAGGGATCAATTTGATTTATTACGCAAGGATTTAACTTGAGATCTCACCTGGATAAAGCAACAACATTCCCAAATGTGTACAATAGGGCAAACCCCAAGAGATTGGTTCCCCCTGATATAAACATGACCACAACTCCAAGGAGAGAGATGACCCAGCCAAGAATAAAGCAAGCAATGAAGCCTTTCACTCTGGTTGACCAACTCAGGGTGGATGAATCCACTATCTGCATGATAAAACAAACAGATGAACTGGAAGATCTAAAGGTATTCCTCTGTCTTGTGCGCACTGTCAATTCCTGTGAATACTGCATATGAATCTCAACCTTGTTATGTGAACACTAATTTCCAAAGAGATATGAACCTCCACTCCCACATTCAATGCGGAATGTGCTGCCCAATGTACTGGCGGGATGGATGAAAGTCCAGCAGACCTTCTCATGCACACAAAGAAGAGACTATGATTGCTTTTTTCCTTCCAATCAGGCATTGATATACCAGACTTTACCATCGATATATCAGAACTGATAAGTTTGATATAACCTAACTTTTATCCTTCCGTTGGGATGCACAGGTTTCACTTGTCACTGGCAATCCCCATTTACAAGAGACTTAACTTTGTTGTTCACCTCTGAACTCTTGCAACTGCAACTAAGGAAAGTTTGTCACTGTTCCAGGAGAGAACTGATACCCAAACCAGGAATTTCCCATTCTGTGCATAGGGCAACATTCCCCTCCCCCCAATCGCTTACTTGCACTATCACCTTTCTGGTTTGTCTCATCTGCGATTGGGAAGGTGATATGTGATTCCTACCTATATAAGCTGAAGCATGTTCATGTAGCATCAGAAGCAGGATTTTCATAGTTCTGAATTACCAAAGAATAGCAGTCTGTGATCCATATGAGGTCCTTCATCAGCTCACCTACACTTCTGGCACTTGTCATTCAGCAACAGACAACTGTCACAAGAAGTCTCCCAATTGGGATTACCAGTGACAAGTGCATGCTCACAAAGAGATAGAAATTTGCAGATGTAATTGTAAAGAAAAATGCAAGCATGGGCTCATCTATGCGTGACTAGGTCTACTGGACGTTCATTCTGCTCGCCGTTAAATCAGGCAGCACGTTCCGTATTGAGCATGGGAGTCCTGCTGCTGCTCACAATGACTCCCTCTCCCATCTGGGAGAACACCATTCACTTCTAACGTGAAGGTTGCAGTATAGACTCGTACAACACCCACAACCGATCCATTCGAAATTGTGAACTCTCAACATCGCCCCAAACAGTGTGCACAAGACGAAGGAATACCGATCTAAAACGATCAGAAACGTAAAAAACATGTAAATTCGGACTTACTGTGGCAAGAGTACCCCTTTCTTCATCCGCCTCTTCATTCCCATTGAGAACTCTTCGCAACTTATCCATATAATTTCGTATAATTTCAGCCACCTGATAACTAATATCTCACACTGACTTTACCCGTCTCTGCAATAGCCTACTGACAAGGAAATACAGTGGGATCGTGGCGTAGGCTGACAATCCACGTGTGAAGTAGGTTTAGCAAGCGGCCATGCTAAAAGTAGAGGACTGCGGGACTGTGCGGACAGAAACTTCTGGCACAACGTTCCGATGCCGTTCGCGACTGATGCCCATCGTCCGTTGTGCGGCCCGATTGACTATGTTACTCTTCTTTTCGATCTGTCATGGCGGCCCACGGTCTTGAGCCTAGGTTAGCTTGCTGCTGTTCAGCTCGTTTTCCACTTATATAAAGTTGCCACTGCAGACATTTTTACATCTGGGTTAGTATGGCATTAATAGTAAAGTCAATCTCTATTCCTACTCGCTACGTGGAGCTTGTTCCAAGTTACCTTTAGTAAAATTTAGGACTAACATTTTCTGAGGGTGAAGAGAAGATTTCAACGAGAAAGCTGGTTCCAGGTTTGGCCTTGCTTACTCATGGATCGTCACAAGGGTAACATTCTTCTTCAGTGTGATTGGCAACATATGTTCAGGTAAGTGGGAACATTGGCAAAAGTGTCTTTGAATCTGTCGAATGTCTGCTGGTTTTCACACCTGCCTCATGTTTATCTTAAACTAGATCTTGGTCTGCATAGGACTATGTTTAAGCTGTTAATTGTATCATGTATTCATCTTGTCTCGATACTTATCCACCCACAAGTTGCATCTGTGAATCCTTTATTGAAAACAGTAGCAAATGTATTACTTAATCTTGTGCACACTTTTTAAATGCCTTGTGAACACTGCAAGTGGATCCTGACATCATTATGTGAACACTAATTTCTATTGTGGACAGAACTGATCCAGAGTTCAAAATCATGGCAGGATGAGTATTAGTGATTGTCTGCATACATGCTACAATCTATGACCCTTATTTACCTGTACTTCTGGGAGGAAGCAGGATTCCTGTATTCAATATGGAACTGACTGCCTGATGTAACAGTGTGCAGAATGAATGTCCAGTAGACCTTGTTGCCCTCATGTAGAAGAGCCCATGATTTCTTTCTTCTAATCTGACTTCTGAGACCTTCTATCTGTTTGTTTAGATGCATAGTTTTCATTTGTCAGCAGCAATCCCCACTCTCATGTAACCTTGGAATATAAGCTTAAGCATCTTCATTCAGGGTCAGAAATGGAATAACCATCATTCTGAAGTAGGAAAGAATGGCAGCCCACGATACAGATATTGCCCTTTTATAGACTCTTTTACTGAATGACATTTCCACAGTTCTGTACAGGGTGTCCCATTATTCATTATACCATTTTAAAAAATCACACCTAATAAACAGTTAGCATGAAAAGGAAGTAACATTAACTGAATGATAGTATGTCATTTGGAATCATCTTTGTCAAAAATATAAGCAATTCTGAGTTTTGAAAGTGTCTCAAAACACCCTCCATTTACATCAATACATTAGGCAAGAGGCTTGGCACCAAAAAATTGCCTTAACTCCCCTTGAACTCTGACGGGATTCTCAAAGACCTCTATCCGGATGAAAACTTTTCTTCACTGCTTCAGTGTCAGTAGTGAAGCCTTTTCTCATGACTGCAAAATAAAATTCAGCAAAATTATATATATATCTGTTTCTTGAGTCTATCTGAATTTAGAACAGAAAAACATTAAAAATGAGCAGTTTTGTTAAAGAGGATTGGAAAAGGGGTACCATGAATCATCCTGAAAAGATACACCTTTCTAATATGCATTTGAAGCAATTTCCATTTAAGTCTGATACCAAGTCATTATTGTGAAAAATTCAATAGAATGTTCTTTTCATCAATGCTAACAACAGGGACCTGCTTGTTGCAGTTTGAAATGGTATAGTGATTTATGGGACACCCTGTATACCACTGAAATCTGTGCATCCTGATGAAGGATAACATTTTGCAGATGTTAGATTAGAAGAAAGTAAACAATCATAGGGTCTTCAACCTACAAAATGTTCATCCCACTCAAAGTTATGTCGTGCAGTCAGACCCACCTTGAGAGTAGGGGTTCTGCTGCCATTAATGGATGGCATTGGCTTTATGATAACAAGGAATGCTTCATACAGGCCTATACACTTTTGGTATGTGCACTAGAGGAAGGAATGCTGGAAGTGTTTCTGTTGGGATTTTTTCATCAATGCAGTAAATTGCAAAGCTCAAAAGAAATGTGACTTGTTAGTACTTGTCTGCACAAAGGTCATTATGGTTTGTAAAGAAATAGAAGTCTCCTGGTTTATATGGACATGCTGTCTAAATATTTTCCAGGTAACTGTTCAGTTAATATATCCTCTGATATCTTACAGTGTACAATCATGAAGCAGATCACATCCCTTTATTTACTTTGCTAAACTGGAGTATTTTCACCTTATGTCTTCAGCAAATAAATCTGGAGTTAGTTTACTTGTAACTACAATCAGTTAACATAAAAAATATTGAGTATGTTGTAGGCATAACAATTTAAAATGTGGCATAATTAGGATCTCTTTCTTCAAAAAATTAAAACCCATTTAAGAAATTGTTGTCAGCTTTTCGAATGTTCTTTATATGCTCATTAGTACTTGAACTACATTTTTAAAATAGATGTAAATTAGTTCCATTGGTTGATTGACATCCATGTTTATTAACCTTTGAAACATTTGCCAGAAACGTATTTTTTCCAATCCATGCTTCCTATCTTCAAAGAGGACTAGCATTAATTGACCCTCGGTATGATTCTAGTTATTTTGAAAAAGTTTGCCTAAAGGCTTCCTCATTATTTTTGTGCCTTTCTCCCATAGTGTGCAAGATAAGCCCTTAACTCCAAATGAAGTATGGGTGGCCTATAAGCCCAAGGGTGAGTTTCTAAAATCTAAGAATTTTAAGCTACCAAATGGAAATAGTGTATTCATATGCATGCTTTTTTCCTAGGCTCAACTTCAGTATATGGATCACTGAAATACAGCAGGCAGTCTGGGGGAAAGGTTGAAGGGAAAGGAGGATTCTCTGTTGGCAAAGTGACTGGCAATATCTTGGAGGTGACCCATGATGAAACAGGGACTGCATGCATCTTCATTGCTCCTTACAATGCCTTCCAAGGCATACATGATAAGGGGGTAGGAACATTTTTGTTATCATTGCTTTTTGTTGGCCCTATGATGATAATTGATTCTGCTTTAATCTTCAATGACTGCCATTTCTGCAAGTGAGAAGTATCTCTGGAGTCTTTTCTTTCTTGGTTAGGCTATCTTTTTCTAAATTCCAAGTTTAAGAATGCTTTTTTGTTAAGTTTACCAATTTAATAGTGCTTGGGAATATTGCTGCACACCTAATGCTAATAAGGGGAAATTGGTTCATAGCTTCTCAGGGTTCTAGTCAGGGACTTGCCAAATCTGTGATAAGATGACCTTCCTAGCTTATGATATCTTGTTGGCATTGCCAGTCTCTCCAATTTTCCCCCTCCAGCTTGAGATAAAAAACAGGGAACTGTAAGTGTGATAGTTGAGAAGAGCAATGTTTATCCTTCACTGAAGACTCAATGCTGAAGAGAAAGGATATGCCAATGATATAGGTGTGCTTTCCCATACAGTAAACTGGAGTGGAGGAACTGGTCTGATAGGGAGAGGGGTTCAGCTTATCTAAAATGGAGGCATGACTTTTATGAGAGGATTAGAAGCATCTCTTTCTTATTATCATAATTATCACTATTATAATTATTATGGTGATGAAGAATGCCTGGTCCTAGCCTTGAGCTCATGATATACATGTATATATACATAATTTATAGTGAACTCATTTGTTATTAGTTCCTTGGTTTATAGTTAACTATGGCCTCACTGATGAAAACTGAGAATGTTGTAATGATTTGTAGTGATTATAATGATTTGGGAATATAACCATTGACAACCCATAACTTTCTCTCGGAATCTGCATTTCTCGAAGATCTTATGGTATGATTGTTGGAAGGAGGGTGAGGGAAGGATAATTACCAGTCACCAATAGATCATCCAATCTTCAGTTGCCGTTCTTATATCCTGTTGACATTATGGGTAGTTGATGTTGATGAGGATGACAAAGAGGAAGGATAGAGTGTTTAAGAGCCCATGCCAAGATCATATGAAGCCCTTCAAGTGGTGGAAGTACTTTTGTGTTTTATTTTACTGCTTGAGCCAGTGGCATAGTGAGGGAGGTCAGCTACCCCAAGATTGGTTCAAACCCCCCCCAAACTCATATCTTAACCCTTTGCAGTCCTATTATTTTTAAGTTTTGTAGGCCAAAAAGTCCAATTTTTTACACCTTTTTTATTATAAATAGCTTCAAATGAGGTTTTATTATTTCTATTTCAGTTGAGTAATTTCTAACCATCTGATAAAGTAAAAATAACGCCTATAAACACGCAAAAGAATAGCACTGTTCCATTGAGCAAAATTATTATCATAATGCGACAACTTTGACTCAATTTCATCCTGGGGATGAGGTTGGACTGCAAAGGGTTAATCCTTTTCTGTCCCTGGCAAGGAGAAATAAGGGAAATTCTTGCTCCCCCACCATTCCTCTTAACACCCCCCCCCTTTGGTGAAATCCTGACCATGCCACTGGCTTGAGCTGGACACATGGCATAATGTAGCAGCAGTTTGGATTGTTGTAGAACATATCTTCTGCGAAACACGCATGTATCAAGACAGAATTACAGGTCTTATTGTATAGTATGATATACTACACCAGTAGCATGCCCAGAAAATCTCAATGGGGGGGGAGTTGACGTAAAAAATTTATAACCTACCCTATTTTTATGGCCAAATTTAAACATTTTTTTAGAACTGAACCTGTAAAATGTATCCCAACGGGTGGATATGACTCCCAAACCTCCCACCCTTGGGCATGTCACTGTACTATACACCAGAGTTACATCCAGCATATTTTTATAAATATAGTGATGGAATATAAACAAAGGCAACCTTCCTAATAATGAACCTTAGTTATAGCAACAATTTTTTCTTGGTCTTTTCAATGATATTATGACGAAGTTCAATTGTTTATCCATTCATTTGGAAGTTTAAAACTTGCAAAGGGAATTCAAAGTACATGCTTGCAGCACATAATTTTTATTTTTCATGGTGTGTAACCTCATGAGGCATTGGTTGTACTGCCTTGTACTGAGAACATTATTTCTCTGGTTTGGCATGCATGTGTGAAAATGCATTTAAAACTATTGAATGAGTATAACTAAAAGTCTGCTAGGATGATTTGGCTAGCCCCCTTGAATTTATGGCTTTGTTTCCATATGGGAAATGTTATTCCATATTGAATACTATTGGCAACCAAATTTAATACTGTCATGGAATTTCTTGTTTAAATAATATTGATGCTGTTACTTTTATATCTTTGATATTATGGCTAGTAGTTAAAATCTAAATATGAATTTTCATATAAATTGGAAACATCTACGCATCAGCAAAAATATGAGACATGTTCATGATTGACATATTCTGGGACTTGTCCTGTATCCTAAATTGAGACTGCATGTTAGTACTATTTGATGAGTGCCCACCTCTGATGTTGAAACCATTCAATTTACTGTTTTGTATGTATCTCTGTATCAAAACAATAGACCTGAGCTATTTGGGAAACATGAAGGGATATGTTTAGGACAAAAAAAAGTTTTTTCAAGTAAAATGGCAACCATGCTACCTCCCATCAACATATACAGCCATGTAATGGGCAATGGAAAAAAAGTTTTAGGTCCAAGAACATCTCTGTCAAACATCAACTGCATCTGACTATTCCTTAAAAATTTATGACCAAACAAAGTCAGATGATTACAAGTCACCATCCAAATTTGTTTGACTATCTTCTGAATGGACTCTCAGATGCAGCTGATACATGTAGAGAGACCATCCCCTTCCCCTCTGTGTATCATGTCTGTTGTTTGTGTCTGCTGCATGTCCAATTTTTTTTTTATTAAAAACAAAATATTGCTGCCAATTGAAATTAACTCCTTAAGTTGGGAATTTTTCAGGCAGAATTCTACCACTGGAGTCAGAAATTATTTTCATGGGAGTAACAATTAGTGTTGGTGAGAAATTTACCACTCTTTCCCAAATTTTACTCTTACTTTTCTCAGGTTTCAAAATTATATTTAACTCAAAATATAACAAGAAAAATAAAAAGGCAAATCCCCTTGGGGAACATTTTACCATGACAGATATACAGGGTGCATCAGCTATTTGAGAACAAAATTTGACTTTGAGGAAAACAAAAATATTCAGTAGAAAAACCAATATATTTTCATAGAATTTGGTACACATGTTCTTACATACACATAGCAAAAGGCTATTTAATAAAACCGCCTTCAACCTCGATTATGGCCTCGATGTGGCTTCTGAAACGACTACATGCATTGATCAGGTGATCCTTATTTATGTCTGCCATAATGTCCCCGATGGCAGCCTTCAACGAGTCCTTGGTATTATGGGCATGCTTGTTGGTCTCCCTCTCAACGACGCCCCAGACGTAGTAGTCCAGGGGGTTTAAATCAGGAGAGCTAGGAGGCCAAATGTTAGGGGTAACATGATCGCGAAAATTTTCGGCCAGCCACTTCCTGGGTCGTGCTGGCCGTGTGAGAGGGAGCAGATTCTTGCTGGAACACGTACGGCCTCCCCCGAGCCTTGACGCTGTCAAGCCCTGGATTGAGGGAGTGGCTCAGAGAGGATTAAATCTGTGCCAAGAGTTACTGGTGACTTTCTTGGTGTTTTGTCGCATTAGTGCTTACGTGCATCTCCAGCGTGTTTGTGGTCCTATAAGTAAGCATAGCCGTACATATACAGTCATCCCCCGACTTGCGTCATTTGCCTCCAGACCCAATATATTAAACCAAGCGCACAACTCGTACCTACGTTGTTACGTTGCCCTTACGTCGTCCATGAATTGGTATCTCAACTGCGAGTAGTCGGCAACACCGTACTGTCTCGACTAACGTCGCCGGTCTCGGAACCAATTACGACGTAACTTCGGGGATGATTGTATTTCAACTTCCTGATGTTTTTAGGCACATTGATTGACTTTCGTTCTCCAGGAACTATGCATTTAATTGAAAATGGATGCGAGTGACTTCCTTCAAAGCCATTACCCTTCTACAATCGGCGGCAATTGGTGCGCGTTGAGTCTGCATTCATCCTTGACACAACAACGACTTCCGCAGAAGTTAAAATATGAGGTGTGAGTGCGAGCAAGTGGTTGAAAGGCTCAAATTTAAATTGTGATCTCCGAGGTGCAAGGGTTGGTTTGGTACGGAAGAAGACCACTTCAGCCTACTACGATTGGAAGGTTGTTCTAGGTGTGCGCAGATCAAGCAACAGCGCAGCAGCTGAAATACATTTTGAAGGTTTGCAGCGGCTTGTCGAAGCTTAAACCTCGATTAAATTACTCGCTAACATTATTCCTGTTTTTTTTGTCGTTTCTGAGTGTAACTACTCGTAACGCAAAGGCGGCACAGTGCTTCCAGATATGTACAAGAAAAATTAATTAAATACAACCCTTATTGGTGCAATATTCTCGCTTCCGACTGCATTTTACAGAAAGCTCCTTTGAGGTGATAAATTGGTCAGCCACTAAATATTCGCCTAAAAAAAGAATATTTGGAAGGCTCATTTTGCTCTATAACAGAGAGATGCTGCCAGCTGCTATGTGAACTATTCACTGTGCATTCAGGGAGAGTGCTAAAATGCCCGAATGCTCAGCATTTATTGGTCATATTAGAAACTAGGAAAGTAGGGTGTGGCATTGATTCATCCATCAAAAATCCCATTATACCTGAAATTCATGACTCCATGGTATGCAATAACTTCTCAATGACGGATGTTGCATTCTGCACCCTTAGGGAACAAGAAGAACCGCAAGAACAGGAAGAGCAGAAAGACCAAGAATAAGCTGGAGCCATTGGAAGAATCTGATGTTCATGATGGAGATTCAACCACTAAGCATCAATAATGAAATCTTTTGTCATCCTCATCCTCTAAGATTTTCATCTACATAAATTGTAGCCATTGTCTCAAGTACAAGGTAGTCATTTGATTCATGTCTTTACCTTGAGTAGATCCTTGTGTGATCCTGGAAATGTGTTTCCCAATAACAGACCCTGTTTGCCCCACCTGATTTACTTCAATACTTTGAAAGCATCTACTTGCCAATTGTGCTTACTCCATAGGAGAGGAATGACTTCATGACTGTGCAACCTGTGAGGGAAGGCCTCATGGCATTGGCTCCCCTTTGTTTCATAACAACTTGTACCTAGAAGTACTGGGATTGGCCCTAGCTCTTTCCATGCAAGTAAAGCAAGATAAATTAATTATTTTCTCTTCTAAGAAACTGGGGGGAAAAAAAAGTATTTTGGGTTTTGTCTATTGCAAACTGCAATGAATTAAATTTGTTCATCTCATGAAATGATTCCAAGAGACTCTTGATAGGATGAAAGTTAAAATAGTTATGGTTGCATGAAATATATCTCACAGGAGAATTGAGCGATTTGTGAAACATATCTGCAGAATCAAGCTTTGTGATAGGTTCTCATTGTGCATGATCTGCCTATCACCAGAGATGAGAGAACCCTTCTTGGCAGTTCATGTTTTGCATTTATGTCTTACTCCCATGTGACTGCTGACACACTACCACAAGAACCACAATCTGGAAAGAAAAGAATGGAGCTGAATGGACCAGGTTATGGATGCAAGGATAGAAACTGGATTGTCCTCGAACTATTTAAAAATATATACTGTATATTCGAGTCATTTGCAATTGCTCCTCTATGATCCTAAAATTATTGTTTCTCACTGTAACAGATTGCAGCATTCACTCCAGTGCAATTGAGGAATCAGGAATATGATTCATGCTTGGACATAATGAGATTTACATAGCTTCACTTTCTTTTTTCTTTTTTAAAAAAAGGCAGGACATGTGGGGACACAAACAACGGGCATATTGCAGTACACAGAGAAGATGGGGTGCCCACTTGGCAGAAGCACCACATCCAGATTGCAGTCCCTCAGGCTGGGACCTCTCGATGGTCCTATAGGAGGCCATACGAGACAGCTAAAAGGTTACCTAAATCCATGATTGACATGAGTGGTTTTTAAGGTGTACTACACCTGTATCTCCTAGAGATGGTACACAGAGTGGCATGTGCGTTAGTTAGACCACACTAAGCAGACTCTCCCTGTGAAAGCAGGTGGGTCGCCTGTCAGCAAAGGAAGAGCCTGTCACCACCCAGGCTCAATCCCTTGCCTCCTACACCTTCACTTTCTAATGGAATGACAAGCACGGTACTGAATGCATCTGCATTGTTGACATGGAGTCTGGAAATGTGTTGGTGATTCTGTGGGTTTCAATAGTTACCCTTTTCATATCTCCATTTGATATACAGGGTGTCATTAAGTTACTTTCCTATTTCAAAAGGCCTTATCTTCATTACAGAATGGCCTAGAAACTTCATATTCGGCATAGAGGATGTACAGCCAATGGGATTTATGATAGCAAAGTTTCCAAAAGTTTCCAAAAAGTTTCTGGATATCACCATCACTACCAGCCAGAAACACAGTCCAAAGTTGGCACATATACCTAAATCAGCATGGATGGCACAATCAGACCTGTAGGTATTCGATGTGGCCACCCCCTGCCACTACCACCACCTCCATCAATATAATGAAGCAGTTGACTGCAGAATGTAATTACTCAGATGACAGCAACAGAATTTGGAGCTGCATGGCACTGCTATGCATTCCCTGAGCTCCACTAAGTTCGAAGGACAACCACTGTAAACCCCACAGCCAGAATTCTGAAAACCACACAGACAGAAGTCTGCAGGTGTAAGATCTGGTAACCTTGATGGCCAGGCCTGAGGGAAAGCCCTGCTGATGACAAAATCCTGGAATGCAAGCTGGAGGAGAGACTGGACACGTCTCCCAAAGTGTGGCAGTGACTCTGGCTGGTACAGTGCTGCTCTGGTGGTGACATCTGAAATACATTTTGGAAACTTTGCTGTCGTAAATCCTATTAGCTATACATCCTCTATGCTGAATATGAAATTTCTTGAATGCTCTGTAATGGAGATAGGGCTTTTTGAAATAGGGAAGTAACTTTATGGAAACCCTGCATATCATCCTATTCTCCCTTGAGATGAACTGTACATTAGAATTCAGCTACTCTTCATTAGAACATCCCAGTGAAAGAGCATTGCAACTTGTTGAAAAGCAACATATGATATTGCAATATTCATACATATAAAAAGTTAACAAACAAGGTAGAAAACTTCATATATGTCTAAGAAACATCAGGTCAGATTGGACGGAACTGGTTTTCCACACTAAGGAGATTCTAACACCACATCATAAAATACACTTACGAAGCAAACTGACCTGAAAATACACAGAGGGTTCAAAAGGTTTAATTTGAATAGTTTAATATATAGGTATTACTTTAAAACTTGCGAGCCTCCTTGGAAGAGGGGAAGTTGTTCTGATGTTAGTTAAAGGACAGACACTTCATATCTTTTAGGTGTACCTGGATTGAGGCCTGAGTATTATCCTCAATCCTTACTCTTTTGCCAGCTCAAATTCATTGTTCATGCTCAAATGTATCATTTATTGTAGCCATTCATATTTTTTCATCAGTTGAACAAGGAAGGTAGACAAAGGCTGTGAGCATATAATACTGTACCCTTACTCCTCCCTTTGTTGGCTAGGTAGAGGGGATAGTACTATGAAAAACTGACAAGAATTAATCTCAGAACAACTTCCCTGTGTTTTCTAGGAGATGGAAAGCATATGTGAGAGTACTTGCTAATTATACTCTGACTTCTCCATGTGGATGCATTCAAGCCAGTTTGCCCATAACAAATAAATTGCCAATATATACAGGCACTTCCATTAGGGAACATGAAAGGATAAAAAATGAAAATGGGATATGAGATATATATAGCCTCAATAAAAATAAGTCCATCAAAGTAGTTCTTTCCTTAGTATTACTTTCTCTGATAAATGTGATAATTTGTCAACCTGATATCCTGACAGGAGCTTCACCATTAATTTTGCCAAATTCAAGAGCAAAAGAGAGCATCAAATGAACACAAAATCACTCCAAAATTAATAGAGAATGTGAATGAGAAACCTATTGGAAGGATGTAGTCCATTTTAAATTGTTGCATGACATTGACCCTCTTTTAAATGAAGATTTGATGCATTTTAGGAATGTATACATGGCTCATTCAAGTAACTTGATGTATCAAACAAGAAGGCAGCACATGGTTCCTGGTTCCATCAAGTAAGATACCACTACTTAAGGTGATGGGACTGCAATTTTTTGAGAAACAGATACAAGCTATACAACTGCATATATAGATGGCAATGAATACCCATGAGATCACTAGGTGAAGGAATGAAAGCAAAGGGACCTTAATACACTAACAAAAAGTCCATGACACACAAAGGATTAGAGACTAGCCTACAAAGGATGGCTATGATAACCACTACTTATGATGGCAAACAAGGAGGCAGTTCACACTGCAAACTCAGGCTTGAACTCAAGTGGTCTTGAACTTGAACCATCAGCAGGTGAAGCCAAGGAAACCATTTCGTATTCCAGGAGAACAGGCTTCCGCTTCATAGGACAGCATCTATGTGCTATTGAGATTATGACAATGATCACCAGGACTACAATCACCCCTAACAGAGTGATCCATGGCCATGCTAAATTGAACATGATCAGTGTTGTTGCATAATTCACTTCTTGAAGACCTCCACAAGAGATGGTGAATCTTTTTCCACCAGCTTGGAATGAGAAGCAGACTGAAGCTCAATATTCTGTGGTTTGGCTACATGACGAGCTTTGAAGCATCTGTCTCCAAACATCAGGATCAACACAATCACAAAAATTATAAAAGCAGCCAGGAGTGTGAGAGGGGGCCAAGTGAGACTGAACATCTTGAGACTGTGCAATGGCAATTCACAGAGTTACAATTGGGGCATTGCACTTGGGAGACTGCAAATAAATTGGACCAATCAATCTGTTGCCAGTATTGGCATCTCTCCAGTACTTGCTGTACTTGGAACAGAGGCAAAGCACATTCAACAAGAGAATGATCAGCCCAACCACTGTACAAATGCCGATGCCAATATAGAAACTCTGGTAATTACTGTACTGCTCGAAGTCCTTAGGGTTATAAGAAACTCCACCGTCTGTCATCATTCACATGGTTTGCAAATCTGAAAGGAAACAGGATAACAGCCATCAGGGGGTCATTGTCCTTAAATGTCATAGAAATTAGAATGGTGGAGTCAGGTTGGACTGTGTGAATGGGAAAGATGGATAATTGCAATAGAGCAAGTCAATACAAGCCAGATACCAACCATGAATGGCAAGGTAGACTTCCATTTCTCTCTCCCATATGAACTGTTTTATAAAGTACAATTCAGCATCTTTTCAGAATTTTCATGACCTCATTAATTATTAGGTGCAGTGGATGGTTCTACCTAGGTGAGCTTAAGAGAATTCAGCACCTGGGAATGCTGTGACAGCTCTCACATGTTCCTCTATGGTCAACCTGATGTTATTTTCTTTGTTATATGAGAAACACACAGTTGAAACTTGGACATACTGTAATAATGATTTTAACAAGAAAAACTGGAAAAGGGCTAAGCCTGCCCTAAGTTTATGACTGAGCTGACTTTGTCCTGAGTTCAATGCAAAGCTGGAACCTTAGAATACAAAGCATATAACCTTAGTCTCATCAATGACACAAGCCAACAGGCTGGGTGCATAATTTTGTGGCATACTTGGTAAATACAAATGGAATGAAGATCAAACATAAAAATGCTACCCCTTCATCATCACTCCTTCCATGAAAGTAAAAAGCACTTATGTACCACAAATAGATCCTGGCTAGGTCTACTCTAGGTAATTTTCTCAAGTTCAGCAATGCAATGATTTGCCAAACATTTCATGAGGCTACATCTTAGGAAAGTACATGGTATGATGACATCTACTATCAGCTATGGTAACCTTGAGTTCCCAAATCACAGGAAAATGTCAAAATTGTAAGAATTTACATTTTGTTGCTTAGTCTCTGAAATGTGTACACTTACACACCATCCCTGAAAACCTCATTCACAATCACAATCAAAGGTCAAGTGAGAGACATCATTACCATCTTTGACCAAATTTTTCATATCATTCTCAAAGCTAATTGCAATCTCAGAAATATTTTCCCATAGAATAAAATATCCAACCCATCTACACAATTCATGATTATCTTACATTAACAAATTTTGCATTTCATTCATACATATAACATAAAAGACCTAAAACAGACCCCTAAGGCATTCAGCACCAACCATTCTTTAGTTAATTGCTGGATTGTACCAAATTCAACATCTCAAGAGAGTAAAAAGAGTTTCTTTTCAATCAGTCCATCTTTGCTTCTTTTAAAAAGGAACAGAAAAATGTTTACTAAATTAAAGACCTTCACTAGAGATAGGGTTTTGCTAGTATCAAGCCTTTCTTTTCTTTTACTTACTGTATGAATTTGGCCTTCTGGAGTAGGCCTCTAAAGGTCTTTGAATGGGATTCCTAAGGTCTGGCAGACTTCTTTCCCTCATGGATTTCATTAAATTAATGTGGACTTCATATACGTTTCCTCTTTTTCTTCCTTGGTTGAGTTCTTTCTCTTTCCAACCATCATGAAAATATAGGCCTTGACCCATCATCATGCAAAGGCCACCTGCCTATTGCCTTTTGCCCCTCTACTTTTTTCCACATAGCTTCAGAATGCAAATATACAGAACTCCCCTCCCACGAGGTGTTTGGAATCACTCACCCCTTCACTTTTGGAAACTTTCTTAGGCCTATATCACCATGTTTTTGCATGGTTGGCGTGGCATTATGGTTGAAATATATGCATTCATTTCTTCATCGGTCAACAGTGCAGTTCTGTTAAACTAAGGGAAATAAGTCGGGGCCTAACCTGTGCAAAGAATTGAGCACTGCAGAAGGAGTTACTAAAGCCAATACATTATTACATGTTAGGCCAACATGACTTGTCCTACATTGCCTAACAATGAAGAGCACATTGGCAAAAGTATAGTAAAATGAATTGACTACGTGAAAAGCACATTCTATAATTAACCAAACGTGTTAAACAGCAAAAAAAAACACGAACTAGGGATGGAATAAGGCCTATATAAACCATGAATAAACAAGCAAAACCAACATTCCGGGGAGAAACAATTGTCTGGGCAGGGCCTGATCGTAACGTGCGCCGAAATTTTATAGGGATAAGTTTCGAATTTTTTCGTTTAGTTCGCCTACATCTGCCACTACTCTCTACCGGGTGTCACTTAGCGTGTCTGGCGTCCTTCGCGTCGATGCTTGACTTCCTACGGCAGGCCGACACACGCGTGCACAGTCCACGTACATCCAAGGGTTTCCACAAAACGCAAGGCTTGCGAGTAAAATTGGGATCAGTTCACTTCGGGATGGCCACATGCATGCATGCGAGGGAGATGTAGTTATAGGTGAGAAAGTTCGCCTAGGCGAACTTTCTCACCTGCGTCGAAATGTCGTCAGATCTAGCGTTACAGGGGTTTTCACTGGAGTCAGACATTTTTTCACTTGACTTCGACATGCATGCACGAGTGTCCGAATCAAGTAAAATAAATCGTCTAACTCGAGTGAAAAACACTGTTAAAAAAACATACTGGCGTTCTGGCAGCACCAACGGCGACGCAGGTACGAACGTACAACACGCAAGCATGAAAAGTTAGAGCTTCCTGCATGCATTGCTTTTTCGCACGCGTCATTAAACGCAAGAGGCGCTGAGTGTGAAACGGTCTTTAGACCAGGTCAACTTGGTCCACATTCATGAGAAATGCATGCACCAGCAGCCACAGAGAAAAGCAAGAGATGTGACATCTCGTGTCCGTTATCCATTCTTCTCCCCACTCGGAAGAACGCAGCACATTCTTTATAAACATTTATTTCGTTAGAGTCCTCAACGGTTCAATCTTGACGGACCCGACTCGATCCGAAACCCTAATGCCAACTGAACTCGGGCCGATTCGGTCTGCGCTGGCGATGTTCCAATCCCAATCCAACCTCAACCAATTTAAGGCCCACGTAGCCATGGCATTTCAATTCTTTAACCTCTTGAGACCTATTCTGGTTGGATGAAAATGCCATACCATGCCGCCACGCGTATTTAGAGGTAACCTTACCCTGTTTTCAGATAGAATTCAAGCCCCCCCCCTTTGAAAAGTGGAGAACGAATAAAAAGAACTACTTTCAGAGGATTCGCTTCATCAGATAATTATATTTATAATAAAAAACACCCTTATGGAAGCTGGCACTATCTGCGATCCATAGAAGCGCTCCTATGGGGGGGGGGGGATACAAATTCAATACGAAAACAACATAAGATTTCGAGTCAGCGGGCCTGTCGGACCAAGTGACAAACAAGAATAGAGTACCATACAATAAGGATTTAAAAATAAAATACTGGCTTTCTTCGCTTTCATTTTTTGAAGGTTTAGACTAGAGCTTTAGGGTGGATTTTTGAACAGAGCACTATCCGATAATGCAGCTTTATTTACCGGATTTATAATGCATTTTCTCCGAAATAAAGCTGCATTATCGGATAATGCTCTGTTCAAAAATCCACCCTTATACTCGGAAGTCAGGAGGTTCAGGAAAGGGGATAGTGACTCCGATGAGAAGTTGAATAAGGAAGCACTGGAGTCAGTCTGCTTCCAGCATCTCTCCAATGCAACCGTTTACCTAAGTCTCTGTTTTTTTTCTTCATATTTACTGTAGCTATCTGCCTTCTTACATAATCATTCTCATTCTCACACTGGCACAACCGGGGGGGAGGCCTGAATATTACTCAATGTCTTTTTCCTGATATTGAAGATGCGCTGATGCAATAATGATCCCTTATCGTTGGAGTCTTCTATTCTACCTCAGAGAACTTGAAGGTTCTATTGCGAGTACTACCATCATATGTTGATACAATACGAGGCTCTAAATTCCTTTACTGGACCAGAATTCAAGAATTTTTGAACGATCACACCTGGTTCTGTCCTGCAAAGGAATTGCGGTCTGACATCAGCTTTAGATTTCTCTCCTTCGCAGAAGAGCCTGACTCACCCTTGCAGGCAGATTCAGATGATCCCCAAGGGTGATACAAATTCCCATGTTTAGATTAACGCCATGGAGTGAAGTCGGAAGTTGGAGCATGTTTCTTCCGGCCGCTGGACCGGAGTTGGACTGGAGTTAGAAGCACCTGGTGTTTCCTTAGGCCAAGTTCCCGCTTTAACCCTTTCAATGATGAGTTTTTGTAGCTCTATTGGGTAACTCGACGAGTATACTCGTCCGTAGCACGGAAAGGGTTAAATGGGTCTATTCAGGAACTCGACACATTCAACAGAAGAACTTCGTGTCAAGATTGAGAGTAGGCTGAAATGTTGAGACATGGTCGAAGTTGAGATATCAACGAAGAATCAACAGCAATAAAATGCTGACCGTTAGTAATTAACCGCATTTTCGGCATATAGTGACAACTCATGTAGTAAAGTCGTTTGGAAGCCATTAAGTGCTAATTTGGTTCCTATATTTGCCTTCACCCTGTCAAGAAAATTTCATCAGGACATCGATGGCTTTTCGTTGACGCGTATATAGTTGCCTTAGTTGGGCCGTCACTGGCAGATGGTTGGCTTACGGTTGAGTGAAGCCGGCTTATGGTCGGGCATGTCCTGTTGGCCCTTCATCGGGCCAACTGTGACTCCATGTTGAAAATCCGCACACACCCCATTAATAAGCCAATGATGAGCCGACCTTCCACGAAGCGAATAAAAAAATTGGGAAAACCCCCCAAACTGGCTCTATTACGCATTTTTGAGCGATAGCTATGCATCCCATGGTAAAATCCTCCCTCGTACTTTTCTTTTTCATCTGGGCTGGATACAAGTACGATGTCACTTCATCTATTCATCAAAAAGTAACCCCCTTCATGGACCAGACCATATGAAATTCCGCATAGAGCATTTATGAGCTCATAAGGCACAAATTAAAGACTATACACACGGTGTCCCTCATCCGGTTACAAAAGGATCTGCCTTTCCGCAAGAAGTCAGACTTGGCTTGTACGTCATGACGCTCTCCAGTGCATTAGAGAATGCAGTTCTCTAATGCACTGGATGATGCACAATGATGCGTTCTTTCCGTCCAGTCTCGACGGGAGCTTCAGAGCAAGCTGAATCAGCTGCAATATATTCGACTCCAAATATATTGCAGCCGGAACGCTCAGCGTCCCCAAAACGCAGGTAATGGCTTTCTCTAGAAGTTCTGTACAGTTCGTCCGGCAGGAAATATGGGCCTCGCGTGAACAGGTGAAGTTCAAGTACCTTGAGCTCTAGTTTTCGAGAGATGGGCGATATAGAAACGACATCGATGATCCAAGATTCCCTATTCTCTTTCTTAGAGCAATAGTTACCAACTCTAAAGCTTTGGAACTGAATGGTTTACCTACTTTTAATATTTAAATTAACATTGTGGTCAGTCCCATCCGGCATTCCTTTGGCATCATCTATCCAAGATGATTTTGAATTTTAATTTAAGTTTTGAGATACCCCTCTCTTCAGATTGCAATTGTTACTCGCTGCCTGGTGCTACCGCAAAAATCATGCGCCATATCTTCGATACAGTACCTTTCACATTTTCAATATCTTTCATGTTGCACGAAATGTAAAAAATTGGCATATAATCCTTGAGCAGATGAAAGCGATCTTCTACCGTACAGTAGCTTACTTAGAGCTCAGTCAATCACAACAGAGAAAATATTAGTACTCAACCTGCGTTATGCATCACATAGGCTGTAATAACGTAATAGGTTAATTCTCGGATTCGTGGCTGACGTATTTCTTTAGCGTCTATTGCTGCACCCTCGTGGCCATTTTCTCGTATTGAAGGTTTCCGGATGCTTTCAGCCAATTTGCTGGCAACATCAATGCACTTAGCTGAACATAGCATCTAGTTAGGTTTATTTCGAAAAGGAAGTCGTACGAGGTGACTTCGTCCGAGGTGAACCTACTCTCGAGCAGATTACATAATCTCGGGTCGCAAAGGGGTTTCGACTCATTTATTTCATTATTTTCTTGTTACCCTTGGTTTGCCCTACAGACAAAGAAACTCGCAACTCGCGCATCTTCGTCGCTTACTGGTGTAAGTTATTCTAATGGCTATTAGTTAATGGTAAACTTGTACCTTACGGCGCTCTCACATTTTAAATGAGGCGTTAAAAGATTTTAGAAAATTGTCAGCGTGACATCACGTGACTTCCGGCATAAAAGGCGCCAGATAACCACTCGCAATTCATCGTTCAATGCGCCTTCAGCGTCTACAGGGTGTTCCAAACTTTTGGAAAATGAACTGGCGGGCCGGAACTTCGTATCTTCGGAACTTCGTATCTTTGGTATTCATGAAACTTCGTAGCAATGATAATGAGCCAGCCAATCATAACCGAGCTCGGGAGCTACCAAACCAATCGCTGAGTAAAAAACAACATGGTTCGCACGCTGGCAGCATGACTCACGAGTCCCCATATTATAGGAGCCTTATGCAAACTTTCTGCGCATTCCGTGCCGTTGTTTTTGCTCTTACAGGAAGTTTTAACACGACTGGAGATCCTGTCGAATCTTCGAAAACACCCTAAAAGGCGGTACCCAGTGAATCTCAATGTAATAAAAACTACCTCAAGGTTTCAGAAATACCCAAGGAAAAGATCTGAACGCATTATCAACGTTCGTATCATGGAGAGTAGAGGAGANCCAAGGAGGTGACAAAGCAGGAGGGAAGCCAGCCTAAAGCACACAAAACTTTCACAAGTCTCAATCAACTTACTTCAATATCTTTCCACTTGCTGTAGTCAACCATGATGAAATTTCTTACTATCTTGAACCTGTATTCCTAAGCTGCAGCATACACAGGTAAAGTGGGGACTGTGGACACCTTAGTCAGATCCAATTCTTGCTTTTGGTCTAGGATCTACACCTATCAATAAACAGATAAAATATCATCAATCACTAATCATTTGGTGTAATCTGTATAATATAGCATACTGAACCCTTTGCCACTGCCTATTTCATGAAGTGCATACTGCACTATAAAGGTTAAGAGGAGAGTAAAGGTATGAGAGAAGTCATGCTGTACCATCATGAACCTCACTGCCTTCTCCTTTGCACTCTCCCTCTAGGCTCTGACGTGTTAGTTATGGATGGTAATTGAATTGTCATCATCCATAACCTCACATAAAATAGAGGCAGACAAGTGGAGTAAGTACCCCTTTCACAATATATGCCCATAGTAACGTCAATCACATGA